TTTGGTAAATATTTGATACTTGAAATCTAAGGAAAAGGAGGCTCGTTCTGGATTTCTTGAAATTTCCCCTTCCCAAAGGATAAGGGCATGAATGTGGAAATACCTTAAAAGCAGCCCTACAATCCCCTTTCGTGATATGGTTTTGGAGGTCTCTCGAGGTGCGAAGATTTAACGTATTACTAACTGCCGGAAAAAAGACTTTTGAATATTCACTGATCCTACACGAAGCGGAAATGGACTGGTGGATGTATACCTTCCAAGAAATTGCCGAGACGAAAAGAATCTCAATGTTCTTCTAGGAAATATCCAAATAGGAAATTCTTTCGTCTCTTTGAAAGACCAATGCAGCTTATAACAGTAAAATATTTATCTTTTGTCAAGATATTCTTTGTCAAATCGTGTTTTTCATAGAAAAATATTATTATTGCCCTAATCTTTCTTTCGATATATGAGAAATATTAAAATGATCAAAAAAATTTAACTCGTTCGTCTTCAAAATATATCTATGTTATAATATTTTAATTATAAGATCAATCGAAGATTATTTTTAATTTAAAGATCGAAATTTTATTTTAAAATTTGCATCGTTCATTATATGTATTTAAATACTCTTATTCATAAATATAATCATACCCGTATTACACCGGAAAAGATACGATTTGATCTAGTATGATAGCCTAGCTAAGGTGAACTATTATCAAATCAACTTCGAACGTTAGAACGTGGTATTATACTACGGGTTCGACATTACTATCACATCTTCTCTAGAGGTTTAACGATTGAAATCCAGAGAGTGAAGGACAACGTTATAGTAGCATTACCGAGTAATGACCTTTCCGAGATCTCCATACATTTGTCTAATAGTTCGAAGTCTTCTATAAATTGGATTGCTTTACTCTTTTCTACTTTAAATTCTTTTCCAATATTATTTTAACAAAGTTTAACAAATGTAAATCAAAATGATTATGCGAGTTCAATGTTTCTAACTCATCTATTCATTTTGAATAATTCAATGATAGATCGATAAAGCTGATGAATAAATCGACGTAGATAATTATAAAATGAATTGATGAGAGTCTTAAATATGACATTACGAAATGAATAACTTCAGATAGAATTATTTTAGAGATTGATTGAGAGATCTGTAACGGATATGAAAAGATAAAGTTTCGCGATATCCAGTCGAGAAGCAAGAGAACGCTATCAGCGAAATACTGATTCTAATTGAAAGCAAATCTATTACAGTGAATGTCCCGTAGTTCGTGTTGAGAAAGCTGTCGTTAGATTGCACGAGATTAATTCAGATTATTCAAGATTAGACAGGATTAGTCTAGTCTTCGTATTAGGCGATGCGAAATAGGACATCAGCTACTGTGCTTACCAATCCACAATTCATCGTTAACCAGACTAAAAAGCTCTAAGTATAAAAGGAATTACGATTGACTCTCGTCGAATAATAAAAAATATCATGTTTCTTTATTACGTCCTTTTAAAATTTAATGAATAAATAAATGAATATATATGGTACTTATGTATGTAAACCTATACACATATGAACTTGAGTACAGACCAACATGATTAAAAAACTCTTGCTCTATGAAATGTAATATAGATTGCGTTTCAAAAAAAACGAGACAATTTTGCGAAATTACTTTCACTTTGCATAAAATCATATTTACCGTACGAAGTTCCAACTTCTTTTTCTTTTCCACATTGTTCTCGCTTTCGCTCGATGCAATCTTTTTTCGTAAATCTTTTCAGCAGACATTATGAGGTCCTAACAGATAAAACTGAGCACGATAAAATCAAAATACAAGAGAGAGAAAGAGAGAGAGAGAAGAGAGAGGAGAATTGGAAGACGAAAAAATGAGAGGAAGAGGAAAGAAATTTAATGAGCCTGTTCGGTCGAACGAAGGTAAAAAAATAAGAAAAGAAGAAGAAGAAGCGGAGTCACGATGTTGAATCTAAAAATGTAGTCAGGTACCGAAGTAGTAGTCGAAGTATAGCATCTAATCATGCTCTCTATGATACCCCCCAGTCCATCCAATTTCCATAGACTCTACACACAATCTATTACCTATCTTCCACCCCTTCTTTCTTTGTCTCTCTCTCTCTCTTTCTCTATCTGTCTATCTATCTATCTATCTATCTATCTATCTATTTATCTAACTCTTTCTTCTTTTCAGTCTCATCCAGCAACTCCTTTGTCTTTCAGCCCTTGTATTCCTTCGATCTCGATTAGAAACTACCTAAATAATTCTCGACGTGTAACCAAAGAAATTAAATCATTCTAAAATGACATGTGTGTGTATGTGTGTGTATGTGTCGAGTCAAAAAGCTCAAACGAGCCCATTTAACAAATTATGGGACGATCGTTAGATGCAAATGCATGCAAATCCTAATTGAAATTATATTTTATTTATGAAATGAAAAAGAAAAAGAAAAAAAAATGTAAAGGAATAAAATTGACCATCGACTTTTTTATTTTGTTCCTGTCGAATAACATTGCTTCTAACGTAAAGTGGTTGTCTATCTAATAATGAGTGTAGAGAAAGAAAGAGAAAGAGAGAGAGGGAAAATCGATTGGATAACTAGCGAAATAACACTTTCTGTCGAAAATGCCACATCATATTTTTCCTTCTTCACTAATCGAATTTAAAACTGACAGATTAATATATAAGTAACGTTTTTGTTTAAAATGTCGATAAGCTTTTTCTTTCTAACAAACAGAATCCTACTGACTCAATGACATTTCTGTAGAAAGGAATTTAAGAGATAATGCATCAAAATGTGCATGTTATTATCTTGATATTCTGAATATCAAAAAGATCAGAAATAATGTAGTTTGAAGAAACGCAACGTAAATACCAATTTATCATCTTAAAGTTGATTCATTTCTGCGAATCATATAATCCCCTTGATTAATTCTTATCGTTGCGATATTTCAGGAGAAGTTAATAGGTAAGAAGTTTATCGATATTAATATTCTACCTGAATAATCGGATAATATATTTTGCAAGTGAAGTTCGAACAAAATAATTATCGAGATAAGATTCGCTTTATCTCTTAATACTTCACGACAAAGTATCTTATTATCGAAATTATAGACATTATAATTACTTCCATGAAGAAACCGTTAAGAGTATCGATATTACGATTAATAATGTCGAACATACCTATATACACATACACATACACATACACATACATATATATATACATATGTATGTAAATGTTTACTCGATATTTATCAATAATAATTTATAATACCAAACGTATATATTATATGTTGTATATATTCGATAAGTTGTTATAAATATTAAAGAATTTTTCATCGATAATAATGCTCGGTCTTTACAACAAACGGCAGTTAACGAATAACGATATTAAATGTTTCTTGTTAAATGTCTTTGAAAAACTTTTCGAGGATAGTTAAAGAACTTCATGCTTGAACGAACTTTGCGTTCTTCCACGACGAAAAACGCTTCTTCCACGACCAATGTACAGGGTGATTACAAAGTTTCGACCGGAGGCTTACAACCGCCGCATATAACTTTGCTAGTTATCGTCAAACTAACTTCGTACACTGTACTTTCTACCGACAAGCTCCGCGCGTGTATACGCGACTACGCGTCTTTCTTGTAATGTTCGAAATGTAATGACGTCTTTCCAAAATGGCACTAGCATTCGAAGCATTTATCGATTTGTATTTGAAGAACAAATCTAAACAAATACATTACCAAATGATTATCATTTATCATCTTACTGTAAATCTACAAGGATGTTTTCTGATTAACAATTTATATCTTACGATTATTCATTGAAATCAAAATGGATTAATTATTTATAAAAAGGAAATAATTCATATCAATTATTTTATCTCCTTTCATAATAGACATATACTTTACGCGACACTTTACTTCTATCAATATCAGCCTCTTCATAATTTTCCTGTAGGGGAACGTGCTTTCACATCGCAATCAATGTAACGCTTAATCCGTCTCATCGATGCGTTACATCGACAAGAGACCGTGATGACAATAAAGTAGAATAACAAATCTCATAGCCTCCTTGAGCTTTCCATTACGAGATAGGATACTTGTAAATACATTTTGTTAAGCCGAGACGTACGTAAACCATAAAAGTGATTCGATCATGGATTTAAACATTCCATTATATTATAAAACGGTTCCGTTTATTACTTATAAAGGAAAATATTATTATTGATGTTATAACTTATTTAATTAAATAATAATGTTAAATGAAGTTATATAGTATCCAATTGGATTAACCTGAAAAGGAACGAAATTATTAAAATCATTATAAGTCTCGTTTCATATACATCACAATTCTTTATTATATTTTTCTTGTTTATTTGTGTACTCTCTTATAATATTTCTTGCACATATATCTAAATCTTACATTTTACAATACAAAAGTGCCTTGCGTTTTAAGGCTGTGACTTCATGTACACGATTCGATAATAATGATCGATGAATCAATCATTCAAATATGAAACGTGAGAAACAATTAATTATCTAATGACAATGGCGATTTTAATAAGAAAATAATAAAAAGAAAAGAAATTCCTTTGATAATAATACCAAAAGGAAAGGCATCCACCAAATGTAAAAAGTTTACGACGATATAACTAAATAAACGATCGTGCAATTGGCAAATAGTCTACATTTTATATTAAAAAGCAAAGATAATTGTTCAAATACCATTTTAACGGTCTTACCTTCCATAAAAAAGAGGAAAATTCAATTTTTACTTCGACACGAATAAAATTCATGCCGATAAAGTATGAATTAACTTTAGTTTCCTTTAGCACTTCTTTAGCTTTCCTTTAGACTTCTTCTTGTATAGGCTTTTATATATATATAATATATATATGTATCATATATATATATATATATATATATATATATGTATCATATATATATATATATATATACATATATATATGTTATATATATGATACATATATAACAACATAAGATCGTCAAACTTAGAATTTTAATTGTTTAAGATTAACAAAGTTAAGTTCTCAAGTTGTCGTACAATGAAACATGTGCTTATCGATGTTACAAAATTCATTAAAATTTTGTTTATATGACGGAATCGTGCGCGTAACGATGTAAATTATCAACCCTTAATTATAAACTTATCTTTCGTTGCTCTTTCGACTATGTTTAAAAAGAGCAAAGAGAGAGAGAAAGAGAGAGGGAAAGAGAGAGAGAGAGAGAGAAAAAGAGAGAGAGAGAGAGCAAGAAAGAAAGAGAGAGAGCAAAAAAGAGAGAGAGAAAGAGAGCAAGAAAGAAAGAGAGAGATCGTTTTCAACGTATCGATCTCTGAATTTATACGCCGTCTACCCTCTAGAAGCTAGACAGCTAACGAGGTACGTTCACTTAGCTCCCGACTCATTCTCTTCCTTGTGCACGAGTACGTGCCACGAAACTTAGAAGAAAGATATTTATTCCGTGATCCCGCGTGGCAGTCTCTGACGATGTTGGAAAATCGTGAGCGGAAGTAACAAGAGCCACGATGCGGCGATTGGCTACTTTAGGACGAATCGATGAACTGGAAAATACGTTAAATACCGTCTTCTAATTATAGAAATTATTAACATTTCATTGATTTATTCAAAACTGATTTTCATTCGATCTTTTCCGATCGATTAATTTCTTGAACGCGATTTTATAATTCTTTTAATTAAACTCGCGATAAATAATTTCTTAAAAATGATGATTAAACGCTTAAAATAAGACTAATTTTGGTCACTTTTTAATTCATAAAATCTTCCGACGGTCTATTAAATTTAATTAATTTATTACCATCTTAAAAAAAGGTCGAGAAATGATTTAAAAACCTGTTTATGATGAATAAAAAAGATCAAGCAATAATGAACTTTTCAAAATATTTTTCGTGTAGTGTATATGTGCGCGTGTGTGTGTATGTACATACAAATGTAAATAGTACGGATACGAAAAAGAAAGTTTTTTTAAGCCAACAAAACTGAATTCTCAAGTCTGTTTGTATTAAACTACGTCGTTCAAAAGGACGGTAAATAGTAACGAGTTCAACGGATTCCCCGATGATGTTTTCGTCAGTTTGTATTTTTCATCATCTTCAAGGGATCTCGCATATAACGAGCAAAAACTTCTTTTTTAAACATTTCAAAATATTTTCTATTGGCGCTGTTTTGTCGTTCACGCCAGGAAGGTCTACTTTTTCTCGTCTGCAGACCCCAATGTACGGTAAATACAGGGGAGAGTACTTTAAATTGATAGCCAGCCACAAACATCTCATAAACCTGAAACAGAGAGATAAAATCGATCTTTAATTCATCGATCTCTTCGCTTTCTTTTTCTTCTATATATCCTGTTAACAAAAAAAAAAAAGAAAGAAAGAAAGAAAAGAAAGAAAAAATAATAATATCGTAATTTCGTTGAAAATTAAAAATCCTTTCCAAACTAATAATTTCAAAAAACGTCTCGAAAATAAATTAGTTTTTAATATCTTAGATTCTTAAAAATATTTTTCATACAAAATACAAGTATACCATTTATACACACTTACGCATATCGCACGAGGTAAGTAAAGGGAAGAAACTCGACGAAGAGGATAAAATCGTTGCACGGCGGATCTAATATGAGAAACGTTTCCTACGAAAAATGTCGGAGAATTGGTTTCCCCTCTGTGAAGGTACGATAACACGAAGGTATCCATGTCCTGGCCAAATACATGGTGAACGAAACGAGGAAAAACGAGAGAGGAAGAAGGAAACGGAATGTAACAAACTAGTATCCAAGTCTTTTACGAACACTTCATCATAATTTTCAATTTCGAAATACTTCGAGTCAATGAGTCTTTCGTTTGTTCCGTTTGTTTTATAATTCAATAATATAAAAAATATTATTCACATAAATAAATTCCCATAATATTGAAAATATTATTCACATAAATAAATTCACATAATATTGAAAATATTATTCACATAAATAAATTCACATAATATTGAAATAATTCACATAAAAATAATTCACATTAAATTGATTAAATCTTATTCATTTCACTTTTCTATCTTATTCTCCTCAATCTACTTACGTGTCCAAGCTGCATGATAAGAACACGTAAGTATTCTATTTCCCGGACCGTATTAAATTTCGTACACGTCCCAAAGACGACAAAATTAAACAAGCATGCGGGAACTGTACGTTTTCTGCGGAAGGATACGCGTCATTAAAAACAAAGAGAGACAATGTTGTAATCTCGGCCTCGGTTTACCAACCAAGACAGGCTGAACGGACATGACAGAGAAGATCCAAGCTCCTGCTCTCGTGTTTTCCTGGATAACCATATGTAACAATAACGTCCGTGTATGATACTATAAATCCTTAAGACGATTATGTTACATAGTATCAAATTTCTTGTGATATATAAAAGAATCGAATTTAAGTTGCTAAAGTCGAATTAAGTCTCTTTAAATTCTTTTATTTTTTTTCAATCATTATCCAACGACTGATCTCATTTTCAATCGAAAAAAAAAATAAAGAAAACATTTATATATTTAGTAATTAATGATCATCAAATATGAATTAATTAGATTAAAAGTTTACAAAATCTCTCGAAATCAACTTTCGTTATCCGATATTAAATTTCATATTACCTTGAATACAAACATTATATCTACGGACACGCAACGAAAGGTGATTAACATAATGAATAGTGATCGAGCTGATATTACGGAAATTCTATGAAATATGTGTATCTGCCACATCCCCGAACGCTCTCGTCGACAATGATCGTCGAGGATGTGAGTATAATATCGAAGGTAAGTAATTTTGACTTCTTAATTAATTAACGCAAATGCTAGCTAGAGAACGTGGGAATATTCTGAGTTAATATGCTTCTTCGTTCGTTTACTGGTTCTGCGTCGTAGAATAGATAGAAAAGCAGACGGGATTGATGGACGGGATCTAATCTCGCTGTTCTCCATCTTCGAAGCGTAACCGTGAATAATTATACGTAACGACAAGATGACACACGTGCGACAGCCTAGAGACGCTCTGCTTGTCTCATAGAGACACACGACGATGCACAACGTATAATTTCCAATGTTGGGAAGGGTAACGCTGCCAAAACAATTGTACCTAACAACTCCAACTGCTGCGCGTTGATTAAGCAATTTACATACGCGTACCTGCTTCCTATATTCGTCTTGACGCTCGATTAAATCGCTCTGACTACATAGATGTGTGTACTCATTTTTATAACACAATGTGTAAGTAAATATATATCCGAGCTTTCGAATACGTTCGTTGAATGTTTGGTATTGAAAATTCTGACCTTCTATTATCTCTTCTATTCTAATTAAAAGCTAGATAAGATAAACATTAAAGTAAAATATTTAAAATCCTCTGTATATTCGAAATAAAATCGTTCTAACTTTTCTTAAAGTATTATCGATATTATCGAACTCAAGAAGAAAATACAATTACAAAATAATCGTCCTTCTAAATTTGTCAATAGAGCAATGGGAATCAATAATCAACGACAATATGCAAACATTTCGATAGGTATGATTGCATATGTTTTCAGGTAAATATTACATAGAATTATCTACGTTAATTGGTCCACGGAAGTTATCTATCTCTATACCAACATTACGAATTATTGATAGATCACAAATCAATTGATTTCCATAGACAAACCTATTCAAATTTCAAATCTACAAACACGTACTTTTCTATATTCGAACCGAAGGAATCCAAAATATTGAAGTATCGAGATTAAAAATTCTTTTCAAGAAAATAAATGAGTGTAGGTAAAAATTTAATAATTGTAAAAAGACTTATAAACAAATTAATTTATTAATTTGGAAAAAGGTTAAACATATAATAGTATCTTAAATATTAAACTACAATTTCCAATATGATCTTTCGTAAAAATGCATACCATATAAGAAATATAAAATAAAATATCTTAAATGATATGGCTTTACCAATTCTTCTCTAAGTGGTTATCAAGAAAGATACACGATATGTATGTGTCTCATTGACTTTCACGAAGTTTCAGAACACACTCGACCTTCCTTCGGTATAATAATATAACGACGAAGCTTTGAACATTCGGAATTCTATTAGACAACCGACAGAACTTCTCGAGTCGGCTTCACGCTGCATGTCCGCGATCTAACCACCGTCTACTCGAACAATCCTCTGGCTCTTGCATTTATGTAAATTTTCGTAATTTCTACAGATGCTGTTATAACGATCATACTTCAGATATATAGATATATACCAATATATAGGTTTTTAACGTGAACAATCAAACAACAAAGTACAATAAAAGTGTCCTTCTATCTAAACTACTTTTCTAAATTCAAATTTATCATAAAAATTCAATAAAATCGTAAATTGTAATGTAATATTCATATTATATTGTACTTACGTGTTTTTCTGCTAAAAGCTTAAAATACGCCGTACAATCTAAAAAAAGAAAAAGGAAAAGAAAAAAAAACATATATATTCGATCGATGATGCGTGCATAGATATCTACCATCTCATCTTTGCATAAGGTCCCGCAGGAAACGAGAACACTTAGAATAGAAATATATTAATATATATCTATATATTGGCCAGTGTAGCACAAATATGGTCAAAAGGTTCCTTCGTAGTTGCAAAGCGCACGTAAATGGAATTGGACAATGTGGAGAGTGTGGTTTACGTCGCGTGTACCTGAGGGAAATGTGTTCGGGTTAATTTCACGCTTCGGCATCGAAGAGAGAGTGCTAGCAACAGCAACAACAGCGCCACCAGCGGTACCAGCACGATCGACATCAACCCTACTGGCAGTGGCACTATTAAGGTCACCGACCATCACGGCCATGGCACGCCAGGCTAGCACAGCTGGCTATTTCCTTCCTTCGATTTTCCTCTATTTCTATCTTCTACCTACTATTCCCAGCCGGTCCTATTATTAAATTCGATCGAGACAAAAAAGCATAGAAGATAGAAGAAAAAGAAGAAAAACAAAAAGAAGAAGAAGAAGAAGCTATTCATCCGTCACGCGAGCGCGAAACTTTGCTCGACGCTGTCCTATCTTTCAACCGCACTGTCATCCTTCTTTCTCCTTAAGAAAGACCGTTCTAAGCTCTCGACTTGAAAGAAGATTCGACGTAGTCTACTTAGTCTTGATGACGCATCTATCTTCTTTTTCGATCGATCGGAATACCTCGATTGAGCTAACCCATCTAACTCAGCTACAACTTTTTATTCCAAAATATATATCTATCAAAATGATATGAAATATCAATTTTCATTTATTTGACATGCATCAATGGTATAATGTCTATAAGATATACTATTAAGATAGAATTAAAATCGACGAATTAAATTTGATCATTTGAATAAGAATAGAAAGATAATGATATATGCGTTGATATATGCAAGGATGTATGCATTGAAATTACTTCAATCGAGTAAGCTATCTCTACGTGACCTTGCATACGCGATGCGTACGTTACGAATCAAGTAAATAAGAAAAAATAATTCTTTTCTTTTAGGGCAGTAACGTCATAATGAATCTCAAAAAAAGAGAGAGAGAGAGAGAGGGAGAGAGAGAGAGAGGGATAAACTAGCGTGGTAAATCTGATAATTGAGTTTTATGCGATCGCACGTCGGTGTAAATCCAAGCGAATAAGGCGTCTCCGGCCGTACGCCGTTACCACTTATCTTACATTCCGAGCATTAAGGGTGGCTTAGGAACGTGCAAGAGAACGAACCTTCAAGGGTGTCGCTATAATGACGAGAATGGAAGAAGTCTACAATGAGAAAGCGTTGAACGGAAAATCTTTATAGAATGTTAAAAGAAGAAAAAAAGAGAAAGAGAAAAAATCATGGTTCAATTTGATCGATCCCCATTATGAAGAAAATGCGAGTGCACTCGCATTAGCGTACGAGATATTTAAATTCCAACCAGTTATTCTCGTCCTCGTCGTCGGCCTCGACAATTAATCTTCCAGGTAGGAATTAACTGCAAAATTAACGGCATTCATACTTCATACGATTCTTTCTTATCCGATCGGAGCACTTTTTTCAGTATTATCTTTTGTCCCCGATGACGAACTCGTCGATGAATTTCATTACGAGCGAGGAAACAAATCGAAGATGAAAATTATTACCTCCTATCTTTCCTATCTCATATGCGAGGACAATTTTTCCAATAAAAATCAGATTTTTTTTTTCTTTTGTACATTTATACGTGATATCGCTGAAAAGGAAAAATGAAGGAAAAGAAAGAAGAAAAAGAAAAAAAAACGTCACGAAGCAATTGGCAGGAAACAATGGTGATCGGATTCATCGTCGATCATTCATTTCCAAAATCCGTTCTTCTTCGATTTGCGATTCGTGCCAGCGTTAATCGCTCAATCAGCGGGAGTGACTGACGGCGATGAAGCTTCAAAACGAGCACACTATCACGTTCAATTCGATTTCAGTTGCTTCGCATACACGAAAAGGTCTCTCTCTCTCTATCTCCCTCTCTCTTTCTCTCTCTTTGTATCTATCTATCTATCTATCTCTATCTCTCTCTCTTGTAGTAGTAATAATAGTAGTAGTAGTAACGCTGCCGTATTGCGGTAGGACACGACGCCGGCCTTAAATCGAATGAATCGTTATTACGTGCTACTGTATCACCCCGATTAATTGACGAATCATGCTAGAACGAAACGAGGGAAGATAACGAATCGCGTTGGTTATCCACACGGTTCATTGATCTACGTTCCTTCCGTCGGACATTTAATTTAATTCCGTAGAAAATATATATCGACGATCACTCTAAATCAATTTCTCTGTATCGTATACGATATACGACATACATAGATACATTTTACATGATTACACGGTTTATTATTTTTGGTTTCGTTCAGTCAGGTACCATCAAATGAGTGCATCCAATTAGTTCGCTCAAAAATTCTATTTATAATAATTCTTGATGGAGTTTTAATGATTAAATCATTAATAATAATCAATACTACAACTCGACGTTGTTCAAATTCCTTCTCTTGCCCCGTTCTTCGATAAATTACAAATTATAGTTTGTTGACAAAATTGCATATTTAAATCAACGAATACGATTCTAACGTTGAAAAAACATTATGAGGTTTGGAGATGTTCGAATTTGAATGTAATAAATAAAAAATCGATCGTATAAAAGCATAAAATCATCAACGCTTTATACGAATTAAGAAAATGATGAATAAAGTATAACATTATATTTTTCTAATGTGAAAATATATTCCAAATAACAAAATATAGAAAATAAGAAAAAGGCAAAAATATCTATAAACTCGTAAGAAATTGAAAAATAGTACGGAAAATTTGCGCTAGATAAATCGTTCGACTAGACACCGAGAAACTTAGAAAGGTAAAGGAAATAAAAGACTTTGGAAATGCGAACGATACCAATTCTCATTTCTCCGTAGGGAGTGGATGTTGTGCGAACCAACCACGAAGGAAAGACACGAATACCAATGTATGTAGAAAAGGAAAGGTACTATCCGATTGGAAGTGTTACAATGTCTCCTAACTCACACGTTTCCCTGAGTACGAAAACACTCTTTGTATGTAAGTATGTATGTATGTACGTACACTCTACTCTTCTGCACTAGACTTATCGGTACACCAACGAAAGAGGATAGAGCATGGCCGTGTGTAGATTTATGTTCGTTTTATTGCAGCAACGAGTTAAAGGGTACTTCGTTTTACACGAAATACGAAACTGTAAAGTCTCGCACAAGGATTTTCGTTGCACAACGAAATTTTGTTATCTCTGTGTTGTGACAAAATTTGTTCTTCCAACGTAGTTCTCTCTTTCTCTCTCTCTTTCTCATTCTCTCTCTCTCTCTTTTTTTGTATTTCTCTCTATTTGCTATTGCTTTTTTTCGCAATAATAGCGTATAAATAAAATAGCGATAATCTTTCCAATTTGTAGAATGTCATTTTCATATTTATTATATTCGTAATGCAATCGATCTTGAGAATCATATTTTTGTAAAGTAGAATTTTATAAAATTCAAGTCACATATTTCTCTCTCTCTTTCTCTCTCTCTCTCTCTCTCTCTCTTCCTCTTTGGCAATTTAAATTTAAATATTGATGAATTTATTTTGAATTATATGAATCTTTTATGTGAAAGCTTTTCGTATTAATTTACAAAAAAGAAAAAAAACATTAGATAATATATGATCGATTTAGTCACGAGATTCCTCTCTCTTTTTCTCTTTCGTGCAAGCAGAGAAACAATGGAAAACGATAAGAGAACGCGAACGATGGCTGCACGCGTATACGTGCATCGAATGCAATGCTCGGCGTTACTTCGCTAATAAGAGCAGATTCCTCTCGTGCTTGTAATGCGCGCAACATGGATGAGGAAAGAATTTCCCGGGATAGATACTCTCTTCTATCTATATTTTCTCACCGAATAGGAGGATTCAGGAGTGGTTACAAATCGCACCAGGCTTTAAGCTTCCACCTCCGATCCAAATGAAATACCTCGCAGATGTTGAAAGTTGGAGAATATCTCGAATATTTAAGTAATATCTTAAAATGCAAAACGCCTGATTCGTTCGTAAATAATTCGCATTGTAATAAAAAATTTACTCTTCCTCGAGAAATAATAAAAAAAATTTCTTAGGTATTAAGCTCGTTAATCAACCAATATCATTCATTATTATTCCCAATTTCCATCGAACAATTTATGCATCTTATTTAAATATTTTAATGCATTATCTCCCTAGATAATATTCTTTTTTTTTCTTTCTTTTTTTTTTTTTTTTTTGAATAAAAATTTCATGAGTAACACATTGTTATCATAAAACCATTCCCGTCACTTCGTATGTGCATACACTTACACGTTCGAGTATGATGTTACGGACACAGAAATAAAGCTAATCTGTGGATTAAGCACGGCAATACATTCGTGAATGCCAATTTACAACAGCACGCGTATGCCAAAACGACAGGGTAACGTGCTTTCCTCTCGAATGCGTACATTCGACTGTACGACGAGAGATGTATCAAGTTTAAATTGAATAATGCTTGTTCTGCAAAATGAGCCTCCATCGTCCGATAACGACGGGAATGATAATACGTAATTCAATTAATGTCCCTAGTGCGCGAGAGGTTCGCTCGTTCGAGTTTGCTGCAACCCCCAAACTACCATCGTGTGCACGTTTGTCTCCACCCTCGTTCCATTGCCGATTTCACGGCTCACCCCTGTTCTCGCCAGCTCTAAAGCAGCTCGTAATCGGACATAGGAACGTGAGTGCCCGCGTTTTCTCGTAATACAATTCACGTGTACAAACTTTATCGTACGTTCAATTGCTATCTCTATCAACTCTAAGTAAATTCGATAAACTGATAAAAGATAAAAATAATAACAATTTCAGTATTTCAATTGTTCCTTCGAATTAGAATATATAAACCATAATAACAGCCTATGTTAGAAAAGTTCTTTCATTTCTTCTAATTTCCTTTATCACATATTTTTTGTACCCATTCTATGTATCTATCTTATGTACAATTCCATTGTATCAACGTAATCTTTAGACCATAAGTATTAAGGACCATTAAAAAATAATAGAAATAAATTGAGAACTATGGTTATCTTGATAAATATTGCATATTTGTCTTTGTTCGTAGATGTGATCGCATGTTAAAATCGTATTTTCGATGCAATACTAACATTACTGTCACGCAATCATGGTGCTTGTTGTAGGATAAAAACAAAGCTATATAATAACAGAGGTAGAGCAAGAAAATAAAAGAAAAGAAATGAAAGAAATATACCTCCTCCAAATGTTGTTATTTGCTTTTCACTGTACATACTGGAAGAGAATCGTGCATCTACTTATTCGATCAATTTTTTCTTAAAAGAAAGTAGAAATGTATATCCATTTGAGTCAAAGTAGAATACCTGAGTGTTTCTCGTATATCCATATCCCATGAATCTTTCGTCGTGAGCTGGTGCAGTATCCTTTGCCACGTAGAACGGCTCGTAAAGGAATTCGAAATTTGTCACATCGTGACTCACATAAACCTTGCCGTTTCTTATGTTCTCGTAATTCTTGTGAGTCGGTGACACGTCCAACACCCATCTGCGAGAACGACCAAGTAAAATGAATTGATTTAATGTGAATCTTGTAACAACGTTTTGTTTATTATTTTGATAACATTGCTCTCGTTCTCAGGATTGTATAAATAAAATGAAATATTTCACATATACATAAATTATTCCAAACGAAATCGATCACTTTTTGTGATTGAAAATTATCGTTGCCATTGAAGATCTAATATTTTATAACTCTTAATCTCAAATAAACATGGGTAAAAATATTTTTTAAATATTAACATTCGAATATGCGGAGAATACGTTTAATGTCTGTATATATAACTAGTATATTCTGCCAGTGTGTATTACGTGCTACATTCAATCGATCACTACGTTTTTGTTTATACAGTGCTCATATATTTATAAAGCGTATGCTGGAAGAGGAAAGTTCGAGAATATACTGTAATTTTTTTCAATATTTTTTTCCCGAGAGTTTACTGCGTGCACAATACACAGTGGTTGGCAAAAATAATAAATGTTTAAAAAACCGACATTCATTGCGCTTATATTTTTTATTAAAAAACCACCTCTTTCAATATAATAAAAAATAAAATTGTTTTGTACGTACCGTTCTCAAAATATAATATAAGAGAAAATAATAATCAAGATAACGATTAATCAATAGTAAACTGAGTCATCCGCCGTCCTGTTCTTATACTAAAAACAGCCAACGAGTGTTTACAATGATATACCTCATACTTGACGATAATGTTTCTTTGCCGACGTCTTACAATCAAATGAGATCAAGAGATCTTTCATTGGATATAAATCAATACAAGGGCGGGAATAAGTCAAGTCACCAATTAGTTGATCCTTACAATCGATTTTCAATTACGAATGAATTTTACGAAAATAATCGAACAATGGAGAGAGATGCGAATCTATCATTTCGATTAATAAAATATCTTCAATAACGATATGATTTCGAAATTAATGAATGTAATCCATTAAAAGAACTATAAATAAAGAGTAACTGTGAAATGACTCTTTAACTATCTTAATAAAATACAAAATACTTGCCTCGTAAAGTTCGTGGCAAATTGATTGTGGATGAAAACCTTTTGATGAAAGGGTCTAGCGAGACCTTTCCTCGCTAGTCTGACCAAGTCTGATTTATTCGGTGGAAATCTGACACGCGAGTCCAGCTCGTACGTGGGTATGACGTAGGCGCACTTGTCGCAGTTCTCATTCCTAAGGAAGTCATCTAAAGCACCGGTGAGATTGAGGCTTGGTATAATATCGACGTCCGTTAAGAAAACGTAATCGGATTGACAATTTTTCCTAGCTAGATTCCGCATGTGATTCTGAGGATAAACGTTTCGCGTTCTCCAGTTCGTTTGCTCGACGGAAATACCGGACACGAGTTCGTTAAGGGTAGCTTCCGGTTTGGCACAATCGACGATGTCAGGCAGGACAAAGGTACGGGGTTGCTTCTTGGGTGGTTTGACCCTTGGCACGGCCAAAGAAAAGGATATCCTTTCGCGTACGGGTTCGTAGCACTTTTTAAGATAAAGCAAATACTTTTGTAGAACTTCGAACTCTTCATCGCCAGCGGCGTACAAAGCAACAGACATTGGACCGGTCCATTGATGGGCCACTTGAACGATCGAGTGCAACTTCTCGACGGAACTTTGCGTGGCAAGACAAACTCGATACGTCTGCGAAAGCTCAGAAAATCTAGATCCGACGAAGATCGAATCGAACGTTTTGAAAAGCCTACGGGCATCCCATCTGCCTAGTCTCACGTCGAGCTTTAGCCTGTCAACTGTCGTGTGTCGATAATCCCGCGTCGCACACTCTTCCTGTTGCTCCTTGAGTAGGGTACCGAGATTCCAGTCCGTGACGGCATTTATCTCGAGTTCTCGACCTATCGAATTCTGCGTGCAAGTTTCCGACTGTAGTAGTAAAAAGGTCAGCAGCATATTGGATAGTGCCAAAATGATCACGCTGGTTAAACTGAGGTTCCATGGTTGGCATCGCAACTACAATCAAAAATATCGAATACTATTGTATCTCAAGATTTTAAATGTCTATATTTCAATTTCTATATGTTTCATTATAATCATTTTTATAAACATTTTAAAATTGAGTTTTTATGTATTAGACGGCAAAAGTAAAACAAAGAAACTTTTTAATCGCGCCTTCCAAATTATTTTATGGTCCTAATTACTCGGCAACAAGTTTCTTGTCGGTTAGAAAGGACGATACAAAAAGCATTACGAGTCTCAAACTTTGTTCAATTGCTTAATGCACTCATGGGAACGATGTGTTATATCGTTAGGACGTAAGTATAAACACAATACATAAGTAAGTAACCGATTTAAGTTACATAAGAACACCGAAATAAAGACTTGTAGTATCCACCTAGATATCAATAATAAGTTTATAAAACGCCTCTCTCAGACGTACTATTCGTGCCAACATACCAACAACCAAAAGCTATTTCGGAACAAAACCCAAGAGATAAATCGTTTTCCGCTTTTCTATCTGCTCGTGCCTTTGCATTCTATTGGATACCCTTAGGCTAGAATGTATCAAGAAACGGATAATAAAGGTGAAAAAGATTCGAACGTCTCTACTTTAACAATCGCAACCAATGTGCGAATGAGGACACTGAGTAGTTTTCATTTTATCTCAAGATACACCTTACGATGCAGTTACAATATTTCGAGGACGGCCGATTTAATTTATCTCATCAAACTAAAAAATACTTTATTCGCGAACAAGTAGAGAAGAATTTTTATTTTCAACTCTTTGATTTAATAACGATAAAACATTATAAAACATACTCAATTCAGTTTAACAGAAATAAATTAAATTGAAACATCGACTATTGAACATCCATAAACGATGATTATTTCAAAATCATACGAAAAGATAAATGTACATATGTACATTCGTGTTTCTATTCACAATGATTCATGGTATTCGTAATAACGGTACAATTATAGTGCTAAACGGAAGAAACAGATTGTAGGTATTGTATGGTATTCACCGAAGTGCTCCATGGAAGTCCAATGGGACAGCCGACAAAATTTCACTTGGATATAGTGCTCGAAACGATAATGGACCGTATGACTTCCTGAACCTGTTAAAATCAAGCTGCCGCACCGAACGAGGACTCTCTGCAATAACGCGTTAGATGAACCGCACTGCACGGCTTAGGACAATGGACTTGGCATCGCCCTTTAGGGTCATTTCGGTAGACATACCAATCGCATAAAGAGAAGTCCTACTGCGTGCAATTAAGACCACAACCAGGAATATTCATGGCAAAGTTCACAAAAGTAAAGAAAAAATGTCTAACGATCCTTTGAAATACAATGAGAAATAAAATATATATATATGCATTTAAAAAAATAAATATTTGCATGTGTGTGAAATTCTGTTTTGAAAACACACAGCTTATAAAATCAGTTAGTTTTAACAAATTTATATATAAAAAGAAACAACACTTTTGTGCTATCCATTGATATATTATATTATACAAAGGTAAGGACAATCCCAAAACAAATTACTTATAAGAGTGTTACTTATAAGTTAGTTGTTTAGATGAATATAAAATTAAAAATATTTTTATTATATTTTTCTATGTACTTTGTTTCCTTCCTTAATTAGAGAGATACTATATATAAAATATACAATGTTTATTAATATAATATTATAAAATATAACATATATAAGATTAACTTTACTTTTTGAACGAAGAAATTTCTGTTTTCTAAATTTGCAGAAGCAAAGTAAAAAGGGGGCTAAAAGATGTTCGCACGTCTGCTGCAGAGATTTTTGAAACGACTTGACTTTGCGTGCAACCATGCGAAGGAGTATAAAATGCGAGACGTTAAAACAAAATGTCACGCGGAATAAAAACCTTCTTGTCCTCAGAGAATCCAACAGAGGCCCGGAAAGGACGTGTATTTCTCCTCAGGTGTGCCCAGATTTATTAACTTGTCGTGAGTTTACGAAAAATGAAAAGGAACAAAGACTAGAATTAAAAGAAAGAGAAAGAAACAGCAACATGTGTTTAACTTACAACTATATAATATAATTTTGCAACTATTTAATATAATATAATTTTCATTCTAAAACTACTGAAACTTGATCGTGAATGAATTCCAATAGCTATTGTTTCCTATTTTGTTTCGAAATATTTGCCTAATTCTTTCATTATTATTCAACTGATGAATACTATAAATCACTAATTCGTAATATATATCCTCACATATTACAACTGTATCTATCATGAAAACAACTAGGTACAGAAATTATTTAAGAGTACTCAAAAAAAATTCGACAACAACTTGAAGAGTTCTCGAATATAAGAGAACGAAGCTGAATAAATGAAAAGTGATTCTTAGTCACGCTCCAAACAATGTTCCAATTGATCTTATTACAAGAATAAACTTTAAAAGAATAACATTTAGAAACGGATACCAGTATATCGCTTTCGTGACTCATGTATTTCAAATAACGCGCAAATGGGGCAATGAACGCGAATAATCCTGGAATCAAATGCGTCTTGTTGACGTAATTGGCAAGGAGAGTGAGAAACACGGCCTAATTCTGTCGTAGGACATAGGAAAGCCACCAATGAGCCAGGCATAAGCGCATCAAACGCGTCAAGTGCCAACGGACGAAACACCAGTACTGATGACCTTTACCATTACATGTACCTTTACCACTAACTAGAGAATGAACAAGTGCCTCTTACCTCTTCCGATCAGTCGCTACAGCTACTTCTAAATGCGTATGATTATCGCTGTTATTGTTGCTTCTACTATTATCGACACTGTTCCGTTCTTGGTGTTACATCGTGGTTCAATTGAACGCAGGAGAAAGAGAGAGGGAGAAAGAGGGGAAGAGAGAGAAAGAGAGAGAGAGAGAGAGAGGAGATGGGAGAACAGCGTGATTGATTATGCGAGCACAGTGTTATCACCGATTCGAACCAGTTCCTACGTTCTACAGTAAACGGGCGAGCGTTACACAGTTAACCCATTATCAAATTGTGTATTCTCGGGCTTTCGTTGCACATCCAAGTCTCGAAACCGCAGTCTATCTCGTACAAGGTAGGAAGTACAAGGACTCGCGTCCCGATTGACTTGTCTCTTCCACGCACGTTATTCGAGACATCGAGAAAATGGTCGAAACAGGTAACGACATTTATTTCCAAAAATGTACCTATTGAACATGGACATCTAAATGTACGATCTTTCTCAATGATATTTAATATCTATTTACTTTTTATCCTCTTATAGAGATATTTCAATAAAAATATGTCAGTTTTAAATACGAAACTTCGAATTTTAATTTTTTTTTCTCAACTTGTTCCTAGCTTAACGATTATTGATTTTCAATTCAGCGTTCTTTGATTATATATCAAAACATATATATATATACATATATGGTACATTGATCTTTCTGACAGATTGGATGCTTATTGCTTTTCGATTGAACGATTCTTTATCGCCTTAATTAATGGAATTCCATGACTTTCATCTATCGAAGCGAAATTACTTTTATAACTTCATTAAGGAAACAAAGGCCCGAACATTTCCTTCTCCAAACACTCGAAATATTTTGTGCAGTGAACGAATGTGTATTTTTTTCGACATCGATCAGTTTCTATAAAAAAAAAAGAAAAGATAGATAAAAAATAAAAAAATAAAATTTGACTCGAAATGTTCACGTTCGAGGCATTCGATGAAGAAAAAGAATGGAATGAAAACGGTACGATAGGCAAAGAAAAAGAGAGAGAGAAAAATAGAAACAGAGAGAGGAAGAGAATGATGGTTGGTTGGTTAGTTAGTACGAGGTGCATTTAGATGAGTACAGTTCTCTTGCGAATGAGAATCCGTCTATAAAAGGCAACGTAAATACCTCATGTATCCATTGGATCTTCCTACGAATTTTTCGTCTACTCGATCGATATAAATGAACGAAGAACGAACGGGTTGCGTAATAGACGAGAAAGAGAGAGGATGACCGCGAAGATTGGAAGCACAGAAAGAGGGTGAATTCCGCCTTTCAATTCTTCTACCGTTTCATTTTACTTCTATCTCACAATCAGTGTCTGGATGCCTACACCGATATTTCCTGGTTCGCTAGCTGGTTGGTTCGCTGGTTGGTTGGTTGGTTGGTTGGTTGGTTGGTTGGTTGGTTGGTTGACTGACTGACTGACTAGACTGGCTCGTAACTTACCTCAAACTAAACTGAATACCGTTCATTACGATAACCTCTCTCACATCAACGAAAGCGTCGAAAGCGGCGACGTTGAAAAGCTGAGAATTGGAAATTCTTTGAAAGTCTCTTTCATTCGATTCTTCGCATACTCCTTTTCCCTTGTTCTTCTTCTTCTTCTTCTTCTTCTTCTTCTTCTTCTTCTTCTTCTTCTTCTTCTTCTTCTTCTTCTTCTTCTATCTTCTATCTTCTATTTTTCTCCTCCTTCGTACTATCTATCTTTCTTTCTACACTTCTTTTTTTTACCTTCTCCTTTACTCTTCCGAAACTCTTAAACTATCCAGGCGGATACACTATATAAAAAGCCCATTGAAAAGAGATGCGGATCATGATAATAAACGAATACGCCTACCTTATCCTTCGTCTTCCAAAGAACAAGAGATACAATCGAACTTGCATATTATCGGACTTTTGGAAAATGGCTTAGCTCACGATTATCTATCGTTCGAAGGTTTTAAACGTTCTGAAACCTCCTTTTGTTTTCGATCAATTCGCTTAAATTCGTTAGTAAGGTTACTCTGTAATGATCCACTGTTTAGAGCAGAGAATAAAAGCGCACAAAGAATATATCTAAAAAGGAAATACTCTCGGAAAACGGCAAAGACATCCAAGTTTCTGTTTACTTTGCTTTTTCTATCTATGGTAGCCTATCCGTTTCCATCTTGAATCCGATCTGTTAAAAGCATTAATTAAAGAGGGCTTTCGATGAAGTCGCCTTAAAAAAGAAGCTATTTCTCCTTGGAAAACGTAGCATACAGATAAACCGTTATATGAAAAGAAAAACGAGAGAGTACACTTTCGTCGAGTAGAGAGCCACTGCAATTAAGGGACTCACTTCTTACTACTCATTTTTCATCTTTGCTCTGTTTCTTGTGTTCCCTTTGCGTGATAATTAGCACGTCTTCAATTTTACCCGTGGTGCACGTATTTTATTTACATAACCACCGAAATAATTAAACAAGCTGCGATTCTATAATTTACCACTAATAGAAGTAGCTAAGGAAATATACGAGAAAAAGAAAAGTACGACGAAAGATGTAAAAAAAAAAAAAAAATAAAAATCTAGACGTGCAGGTTTCTCTTTTCTCATTTCTGAATGTGTAAATCGTGTCAAGGAACTTTAGCTACGTGTGCTTTCCATTACGTTTAATTAACACGCTGTTTATCTTTCTGCAAGCTTGTAAAAAAATCAGAACACGAACGAGTTTTATAATTCTAATGTTGAGTAAGTTTCTTAAAAATATAAGATACAATAAGAATTACTTTCATGTATTTTCATTTAGTATTATACATGTATACATATGTAGCTTGTTAAAATAACGTATTCATGTACATTCAGTCTAAATATTGTTCATCAATGAATATCTACGAAATCATATATCTATAATTTAACTATATATAATTATAGCAAACGCGAACATTCAAAAGATAACTTTTATTGTAATAATATATATCTTTTATTATAATGATGTATATATATATATATATATATTAGAAACATACATATATACACTGATATATAATATATATATATATATTAGAAACATACATATATACACTGATATATAATATATATATATATATATACACTAATTAATGCATAGTATCGATATATGGAATTATCAGTAATTAATGGAGGAAGAGATATAGACGCATGGCTATCTGATAATCGATATTCTAGTAATAATGCGTATACCACACGTAACTGTAATTCTCTCTATACGCGCGATGTAAGCAATTATAACATAGTCTACAATCATCTTGATAGTGAATGATTAGGCAAGATATCGCAGCCACAAAATGATTCGAAACTATTTCAAACTAATGTACAATTACTCATATGATAACTAACAAGCTATTATTTTTCCTCTTATTGAGAATTCGTTTTGATTATCAAACAAAACAGCTAGTTTCATCAAAAGAAACTTCAAATTTCATAGAATGGAAAATACGAGGTTCTCGCAGTATGATCAAATTAAGAAAAAGGAAAGGAAAAAAATATCGATTATGGAAACGTCGTTACTCGTGACACTCAATGTAAAAGACAAACGATATGGAAATGTAGTTTAAAGCTTTCTCATCCGTCAGTTCGTTAAGATACCTTTCACATACCAATTTCAGGATGATTAATACCTCGCCCGAAGCGAGCCAATCAGCAACACCAAACATACAAGCGATATCGCACGCTCTTACGCTTGTATCCGTGTACTACATATATATGTGCCTAGATAGAAGCGAGAAACGAAAGGCGTATTGGAGAGAGTAAGAGAGAAAGAGAGAGAAAAATAGAGAGAAAGAAAGAGAGAGAGAGAGAGAGAGAGAAAGAGAGAGAGAGAGAGAGAGAGAGAGAAAGAGAAAAGAAAGAGAGAGGGAGAGAGATGGAGAAAAGGAGAAAAAGAAAAAGAGATAGGAGAAGGGATAATTCTCATTGTTCCATAGCGAACGCCCTCGAGGCGACTACCACTTCAAAGGCATGAATGGTTAGAGTTCGACACAGCTCTCATCGAAATAGAGTCCGGCAGGTAATGAACTGCCCTTCGGCAATTGCAACTAACGGCAACAGCCCAATAACCCGAACCAAGTGCTGGAGATCCATTATCTATTTACATAAGATCCACCATGAAGCAACTAAGAGTTAACATTGATCATTTAACCTGGTTGTATATTTTTTGCGGGTTAAGTTAGATATGTGTACAGCGCTATATCAATGTCCAGTATTTACTGCACATGTCGACCGTCAGAAAAGGTAGAAAAGTCAAAAGCTATTACAAATTTGCTTCCATGAAAACATACAAAAATATTACACGAACTTTGTTCAAGCTCAACCATGCATTTTAATAAATGGTGAATGCAGAGACGCGCGTTTATTAAATTTTTTTTCATTAATGTTCAAGTCAGTCATAAATTACGAAAGCGCTGCAAAACATATCGAAAATATTATATTTACTCGAATTCTCCTGATAGATTGGAACAGATTTCTATGTGATTACGACCGAACAAAAAAAAAATTTAGTTCGATTTTTCGCAATTTTCAAACGATTCATTCGATATCTCATTAAAACTAGTTATTTTATATTTTACGTACCATTCTATCCAATCTAGTCGTTAACTTCTAAACATTTGAAAAGCTTATAAAGCTTATCAAATGAACGGATCGCTGTATCGAAAAGTCAAAGTAACTTTCGCATTTCGTATTGGTCGTGGTTTGTTTGAAATTTAAATGCGTTTCTGAACTGGCGCAGTTTCGCGAACGTAACGAAGTCAACGACTTTAAATCGATTCTCGTTAGCGCCGTAGCATATTTTTACTTTGAGTCCCAGATTGACTAGTCCAAATAGTCACGCGACGTGCCTGGGAGGATTTTATCAAATGTACATATCGCATAAAACTTTGCAATGCCAGGCCACAGTATTATCGCCTATGCATTAACGCCTATCCCCTAACGATTTCAGAATTAACTTCACGATCTATTTTATATATGCTTAATTGTAATTACTATAATTATATTAATGTCGCATGCATAACTGAAAATGTTTCTGCGACGAATAGTAACTTAAAAATAATGAATTCGATTTACAATAAAAAAAAAAAAAAAAAAAAAAAATAAAAAATAAAGAGAGAGAACAGAAAAAGCAAGTAATTTCATTAAAGTCGAAAGTTTCTTTAGGACCAATTCTTTAGTTCCTCCAAGATTCACTTCGTGTCGTTCGTATGTACTCACGTGATAAAATGGCTAGGAAAGATTCAAGGCCATGAAAGACGAGAGTCGCGCGCTCCCCACGTGGTAAGAAAAGGGGTGGTAAGATGCCGTGAATCATCAGTAGCGACATCTCGTTTTGTTCAGACAACGTGCAATGTTAGCGACGATCGAAATTAAGGTACGTGGAACAGAAGTTTACGAAGGAAAACGAAAGGGCGACTTAAAAATCGATCGTATAGATTTTGTAGTAAACGAAAATAAAGATAAAAAAGAATGAGGAAGAAAAATAAGAGAAAAAAGAAACAGAAGAAGAATTAGAAAGTGAGTATAATCAAGGCAAAAGGGGCTCACCTGAATCATTGATGTGTATTGACACGCAAGGCAAACCACCCCTTCTAGTGGTAGCCTGCTGACGAAATCAGTCTCTGCCAACCTCCGTTGGCCTCGATCCACGTACATTCACTACAGCCACTAGCATCAGCCTTTCTCATCCAACGAGAAACCCCTAGCAGCTTTCTTCTATACTCTGTTCTACTCGTCCTTGGCCTGGCACCTTTGGGTTCACGAGTTCGTTGCTATGTATGCAGGTTCTTGTCCTTTCCAACTCTTACACTTATTCTACGCTTGTATCGCACTCGCGTTGTAACGACAACAACAACGCCTAATCGATTTCATTGAAAGCAACGGCAAGTAGTAAGAAGGATACAAGTTTATTTACACGCACTAGGTGGAAATTATGTGTCCGGCACAAGCTTCCAAATCGCACCACTGATAGCGCTTCTGTGAACTTAGAAAGCGCGCGCAACCTGTGGATCGATTTCGACTTTTCTCTCTCTCTCTCTCTCCACTCCCCCCCTTCTTCTAGCCATCGTTCTCGCTTTCTCTCTTAACAAGTGAGATGTGAATATGTAGGTATATACATGTGTGTTTGTAAAGCTTTCGTTTTCTAGGTAATGTATTAATATATCTATATATCTATATGTATGTGTAAACACGCGGAAGACTTTACTACACTGATACTAAGCCATACTAAACTAATGTTTTCAACATTTTTTAGATTGACTTTTAAATGTCGTTTTGAAGATTAGAGTGACAATCACGAAAAGAAATAATTGGAAACGATTCGTCTTGACTTTTTTACTATTTTTCTTGATGATTCCTATGTATTCGTGTCATATAAAAAAGAACCGAAATTTTATTGACAAACTTAAATATCAGATTTAAGTCTAATATATAATAGTATCTAAAAAAAAAAAAAGAAAAAGAAAAAAAAGAAAGAGAATTTTACATAATATTTCGCAAATCTATTTTCTATCTACTAAAACTTTCACGACGTAACATCATTTCATTAGAAAAAGTCATAAGCACATTTTCGTTGTGAAAGGAAAGAAAAAAGAAATGACCAAGCGGAAACTGTTTAAACACCACGTAGGAGTAGGTGGATTAAAAAATAAAGACAGGATACTTTAACAAGTTATATCGTGGCATGAATATAACTTTCTTCAAGACACTTGCTCCGGTAACTAGCAAATTATTTTTTAAAGCGTAGTTTAATCCCACACACTTACATATTCATGAATACACTAAAAACAACATTTACATAGGGGTTACGATGCAATGAAAGAGACAAAAAACAATAGAGTGGGTAAAATATAATGATAAAAAAAAAAAAGAGAAATTTACTTTCGTATGAAAGCTGTTCTAAATTTTTTTTTTTTTCACTAAAGTTCGCAGAAAATATAGATTAAACCGTATAATATAATCGATTGAACATCAATTGCTTGAAATCTTAATAAAATTGTTATTTTGTAATTCAATGAAATAGTACATTTTTGAATAAAAAATGTTTAACATTTAAAAATAAATGGAGATGCTTATGATAGTACTTACTTATATGTAGTAATTTAATTCACTTTTATTTCTCATCTCTTCAGATTGTTCATCGTTTAAAATCATCGGCGCACATTTACTCGCTTTTGCGATCTCGGTGAAGTCAAAAACATTGAATAATTTCTGAATCTTGTAGAGGCAAAGCCAGAGTATACGCATTTCCCCAACGTACCGTACGCTTCGCTGTCGCCCGTATAAACTGTGTACAAGTACGAGTCTCTCGTGTACAAGTACACATATCTACGTACGAATTCTACCCCTTCTCTCCCTCAACTCTTCTTCTCCTTCAAACTCCCTTCGCGAGGAAAACCAAGCTCATATTCGGATATAACAATGAAACCGACGGAGGAACTCCCAAGATAACGTTCCCCGAATAATTTATATCGATGGAATTAAGTTTAAATATTTCATGGTTCAACTAATCTCTCGGGTATCACGACAGTTTATATACGAAAGGAACGTTCGTAACAAAGTAACCGGAATCGTATTTCTATGTCTTTTCTCTGTTTTACTTTCAAGGGAACATACTGACCACATATAATGACATAATACGATAGAGCAAAGGTATTTACGTATAAATGTAAAGAAATAAAGAGTAACACTTTCATCATAGCACTGAGTACATTTTTCTTTCAACTTTTCGCGGTAATAAGCACACGCTACGAAAACCTAGAGTATAACACTTCTAAATGGGTCCTTGAAAAATGATACGTACGTTATAATGAAGTCATAAGAACAACTGTAGTGTTAGTTAATGAAATGTAGCCATTCATATATTTTCATTAATTTAAATGAGTCCCTCTACTGTAACAGTGAATACAAAAAAAAAGAAAAAGACTAACAAAATAATTCGTTGACGCATTTAACAACATGGTAGTAGGATGATACATATTTTAGCTTCAAATAAATAAACAATAAATTATCTTACGTTTAGATCTTCAGGAACTAATTGCTTGCTTTATTAATTTATCTACCAACTCTTTCTCATGTAAATGTCGTTGTCGTAGAGAATCCAGATAAGAATCTTCGAAATGGTTGGATGAATTTAGAGGGCTGTAACAATTCGTCGATTTTCCTTGTTTCTTTATCTTTCTCGATGAATTCATCGTACTCTGTTTCGATATCACCAATTTAGCTGGACGATTTGAATGATTTTTTCTCTCGACGCTATCACTTCGTCCATTTACTTTCTTTTCTGTAATCGATGAATTCTTATGGTTCTACAAAAAGTAAAAAAAGAAGAATCTCCATAAATTTCACGATTTTCCTTTGGCCTTAACATTCTATAGTATCACGAATTCAAGCGAGTAATTTCACAATGAGATTTCGTACAGAAGATCGAGCAAAGCCGTTCAAATCCAAAGGGAGAAACGAAAGAAGCAGAAAAAAAACGCTCGACTTACCTTCGGATCGGTGTTCCGATGGTTCAAAGAAGGTAGAAAACATTTTCGAGGCGCGATGCGTCGCGACTGTGAACACAAAGAAAATCAGTGTTTCGCGGTATCGAGAAAAGAAGAATAGGACGAGGACTATAGAAGGAGATCCTGAAAATCGAAACGATTCTTTAAAGTCGAATTTCTTTATCCCCTTTAGCCGTATCCTTCGATAAGATACGATCGAACGGTAACAACTTTGTGTGAAGATCGTTCGATCATCGGCTACGAATCACCTTATCTTTGTCTTTCTCTTTGTAAATCTTGGAAAAGAAGAGGAAAGGTCGAAGTATGAAATCGATTTCACGCTAGGTACGTGATGCATCCCAATCCATTGTAGAAATCGTATCGATGATGCGAACTCTCTATATAACGCATATATGTATATGTAATATACGAGAAATCTATATAGATATAGGTAGATGGTTAAACAGAAAGGATGTGTCTAGTACTGTGAACAGTAGCTTTCGAAGGGTCAAAGATGCGTAAAATCAAATTTCAGTGTCCTGCGTTACTACAAGTATAGAACCTACCTATTCATGAATTTAGCTACATATGTAAAGCTCGACCAAGTCCTATACTAGAAGCGAGCAACCCTTAGCACTTCTATCCCTTCTGTTCTCGAACCTTGTCTGCTCATAGCTCGCGGTTCCCGTGGCTCGCATCGTTCGCTTTGTGCTTATAATTGGATTCACGTTCGAGTGGCATTGCTTAAACCAATACCATCTATGCCAATTTCGAATTATATACTGATGCAGCGACGTCTTTCACATAAATTTAACGTTTCAGGATGATGCTTTCTTGTCCTTTGTTGAACAAAGGCTACACTAGAATTAATTGTGCTTGGTTTACTCTAATAAATGATCTTCTAGGAATCGACTCATTTCTACGTGTGGCATTCTATTATACTAATTATGATACCAATTATAATTAAAAGGGTCGATTAGTATTTCTCAATTATTTAAACTTTACGAAAATATGTGTGTAACTATCGTACTCCTTGTATAGATAGATAAAACTATACTTATAATATAACAATGGGAATAAAATAAAAAACGATATATATGTATATATATCTTTAACATTAAAACAAAGTCTCCTAAAAGATTTAATTCATACTTCAAGAAGGAATCTTATTATTAATCTTATTATTATCCTATTATTTAACAGCTTTCTAACTTTCCTTTGTTTCTTTTTAAAATCTCTGCTTGAACTAGCATAATGCCAAAAGTTTTATCGCGTACTTCACTTTTGGGAATGTTTGTATTAAACTATAAATCGTGATCATTATATAATTGTTTTAAATATTTTTGATTTGCGATATATTCAAAAAAATTTAATTGGAAGTTAATAGTTTCCGAAACAGAAAAATTTATGGAAATTATATCATAAAACACTGGAAAGTCTAAAAATCTACGGAATTTATAACTTTTCACTTTCATGATTACGTTTCTCTCATATTCATTGAACATTTTATATACCTAATTGCCATATATAGCGTCTACTCTGCGAATTCATTAAAATTCTTCATAAACATATCACCGAGCATTTGACAAAATTTTACACCGTAAAGATAATTATTTTCTCCAACTAATGACAAATGCGAAACACACGGATGTTAAATTAATGTTCTATTAATCAATTGACATCACGGTTCGTTAAAATTCTCATGTAGTATTACTTTATGAAATAAAAAATGGTTTGTCAACAGCAAAATCTTTCATTTAAAAAACAATGAATGAAATGTAAAAATCTTATCAATACGAACCTCTTTCATAATCGACAATATAAAATAGGAAACAAATAGCAAAAAATGTTTAAGGTTGTTAAAGTGAAACAATTATTAAGGTGCGTAATTAATTTTGTTAATAAATCTTGTGCACAATATCATACCAAGACTCAGCTATCGTTTATATTATGTGTAAAGTGAACCAGTCCTCGTTCACTGTGCCTCTTTGCATTCACTAATTGGCAATTAAATATCGACCACAACATAACTGAACGACGTTCGTGTCAATTTATCTGTTCGTACCTAGTACAGCTATAACATCCGTTACGTTTGTTATATCTTTTTTAACTTCTTTTTTACTTGTTTTCTTCATCGAACACCTACTTTTTCTCTCTACTTTGACTCCAGTGAACATTTGATGCAAGTGCCGGTTACATTGGACCGTTATACCTTCCTGCTAATTACAAGCCACGTTTGAAGAAAAAAAGTCATTCAGCAAGTCGAAATTGCGCGTCAAAAAAGAAAAAGTTGAAGGACTTGATCGTTAACGTTATCGATTATCCAGCTAATTTGACATAAATCGATACGTCCTTTTAATGTCTCTTATCGTTCGTTTTTTTTCAAAACGAAGATATATGTAAATGAATATACGCTGACGTATCTTTTAAATCAGACAGTATTGTTGCTAAAAGTAATCATCATAATATTGTCAATTTCAATGGATGAATTGAAAAAATAATTAAAAAAAGAAACGGTTTGTAAAATTGAATATGTATCTTACTCTAATATCAATTATTCTATGTTCCATGTTACACGGACTTTCTGTTTAAAAAACACATACAAAGTTCAGAGTTTCTTTTATGCTAGTAGGTTCTTTCATATCGGTGCATTCGTACCTTGAATCTCTGTGCTGTGTGAAGTATATGCTGGCGGTTGCGTTCACTAACCAAGTCCCCGTATGACCTCCGTCGCATCAACCACTCTCTCTGCAACAACAAACAAGCCCTAAAGCTACCCAACACTCAGGCCAAACTTTCAAACTAAACACATGGGGTGGATCTATCTCTGTCTTTCTTTTGCCTCCTTTACCTAGCCCATCTTTCCAAAGCCATCCAAAGGCTTTATTTACTTTTTACGAAAGTTTCACAGAGGGGGAATCTACGTCGTCAGTACTACTCACGTGTTTCTCTGCTATATATATATATATATATACTTGTGTGTACATAAACATATATACTGAAATATATATACTATATTCCAAAGTATATGTTCATGTAAGTATATCTGCACTCGACTACAGATGCTATTGCTGTTGCTGCTATTGCTCAAGAGCCATATCTTACTCGCAAAGATATTTAGCTCTTCTTCCAACGTTAAAGTTTTCTTTCAAGTTGATAAACTTAAAAGTTCTTTACAATGTCGATACTTACATAGACACTTGAAATAACATCTTGTTTGATGATACATAAATGATTGATACATCGATGATTCATAATGAAAATATATCTCTTTGTAAAAATTCAGGAAATAAATCTTTTTTTTTAATTGTGAAAGAAGACGAACGATATATTTATATATGTATGTATGTATCTATGTATTTATGCATTTATGTATATTCAAAAAAACAGTAATTATTTTCTATCGTAGTTCCGAAAATTCGTCGAGACTTTAACAACTATTTGTTTCGAAAGTTTTCCGTGGAAGAAACTTCTGATACCAATTTATATGGTGATCATCGGTGATAGCATCGTTGCGAAAGAATTTAAATATTCCCAAGAGAAAGGGAACGATGCTCCCTTATACGAGAGCATAGAGCTTAAAGGGTTTTAAAGGAGTGCCGAGGGTCGATCGATTCGACTACACAGAAAATCGTCAAGGTACCCGAAGGTGCTTACCGGCTTGAATCCGACACAAAGTAGATTATGCAAATGTCCCGTCGAACGAGAGAAATGCGAAAGAAACGAGAGGACGAGAGGATATGTAGAAAGTGTAAAAGAGAAAGGAAGAATGGAAAAAGGATATATGGATAGAGATAGAGATAGAGAAAGAAATAAAGAAAGAGAGAGAGAAAAAGAGCGTATAGGTTATCTAGTCGAGAAAAGGTTTGCCAGAGTGTGTCGGACGTAGTACGCGAGGTCGTTCCTAAAAGTTAAATGAACCGACGGTCGAACGAACCACCCTTGCTACACTTTAACCCCTTCACTTCGTGATCTTTCTTTCTTTTTCCCACTGAACCTCCATATTTATTCTTCATCTCTTTCTCTCTCTCTTTCTCCCCCCCCTCTCTCTCTCTCTGTCTTTCTGCCTCTCTGTCTGTCTTTTAACAATCTACAGTCTATACGTAACTAACACACATCAGCATAATTAAACACCAAGAGCAGCGGAAATACACTGAATGTGTAATATTCATAATACCTCTCTCTCTCTCTTTCTCTCTCTCTCTTTCTCTCTCTCTCTTTCTCTCTCTCTCTTTCTCTCTATATATATATAGATGTGTGTGTGTGTGTGTGTGTGAGTATATATATACACATATATATACATGTATATATCTTTAAAATGAGTATAATTAAACCTAGCATCTACCCAGTTATATCTCATCTAAAGTCATTTTAGTCTATTATTTAGTCTATTCTCGGCGGACAGTGCATATCCACTAAAAATAAATTTATTCTCCTGCATCGGTAAATTTATCTATTTTTTCTTTTCCTTTTTTTCCCTTATTCTTCTTTTTATTCGGTAATCCTGCATAATGATAATCTAACGTATTGCAAACACGCGCTTATGAAAAACGGTGCATATAAAAGATTCTGTTCTTTCGAAGCAAACTTCGATGCTGCGTAACGTTTGATTACTCTTTCCTCTCTCTTTTTCTTTTTTACAATCGTTCCCTACTCTCTTTTATCATCTACTCTTATGTTATACAGAACTAGCTATTCTACTAGCTGATATAGAACAAGTACGTTGTTCCATTATATGGACTAGACGGTATATTAATTCGCGGACAAGCTCGATAAAACGTGTATTAAAATGAATAACAAGCGTAGCAAGTACCATATTACTAAATACGCATAATAGTAAAATAATGATGTAAAATTTGAATGCAATATTTGGATTATATTACGTTCCAATTTATCATCTACTATATAATTATAATTAGTCATCAAAATGCAGAATTACGAAGCATTTGAAAATTAAACTCAACCTTCCAGAAATTTATTATTCATCGTTCGATTTATTAAACTACAATAAACTATTATATAATATATTTAGAACATTAAAATGTTCTACATGTGTTTAAAGTTATACAAATATTAAAAACTTGTCTTAGCATTTAAACCGATTTGTATAATAAAGTTTTTATTTACTTTATATGGCGAGCAAATGGATGTCTCGCAGTGCTATAAAAAAAAATCATAAAATTATAGTTTATTGCACTTTATAAAATATTTCAATGCGTAAAAGTTTCGTTATACACTCTTAAAGTTTGATGCGAATAAAGAGTGATACGAGTAAATAATCACCTACGTCATAAGCTAAATGTAAACAATTTCTGAGTAGATATCTAAAAATATGTTTAAAACAGTTAAAGAGAGAAAAATGAAAAAAGGATTTCTGACATGTTGAATACAACATTGTATTCGTATTTGGCAAGGGACTATGAAATCTTAATTTCCAATCCGCTAAAATTGTTTTCACAGTCCTAGCTCAGAATCCTAGCTAACGCTATTTCCTTTTCTCTCTTGCCATGTATCCTAAAGTCACACACTGACATACAAAAGAAAATACTATAACTATACATGTAGCTGGAAGTAAGAAAATCCGAGATACGAGTTTCAGTAAACCTACTTTTTCCTTGCTTCGTGCTTGTGAATCTGAAAAATTTACGAAACATTCTACGCGCTAGAAGTATTCTTTTCAAAGGGTCCATTTACAATATCTTCTATTATAAGAAGACGATAAGCGTATTCTCAATAAATATTCATTTTCGGATAAATATATTTTCTTTTTACTTTATATTTCTTTGACAAATAAATAATACCAATAATTCATGTCAATCATCTCTCTAAGATTGAAAATATATGCATTCTTAAACTCAATCGAAATGATACAATGGAAAAAATGAAAGAAACTAGACAGAACTAAAACATAGTAGCTATCTTTGCGACCCTAGAGAACTATCTACGATAACAATCTCTATTTCGAAGACATGGTTCAAAACGAATTTAAGTAGACGACTTCTTCTTCTTCTCTATATTCGAGCGACGACTTCTTCTTGAGCGAGCCCGGAAACGTCAGGATTCAATTCCGCGAGTATACTATATTCTACTACTCCACTTGGACTTTTGAGAAGAAAGTAGTACATAGGAGAAAGAGAGAAAATAATAAAGAGAGAAAGAGAAAGAGAGAAAGAAGACTATAGTAAGACAGGTGGTAGGAAACAGCCGCATCTTTATTAGATTGAACTTATGGAGCCGTGCGACAACCTAACTCGCTTTACGTCTTCCGTGAAATTGTAAACTGTGACGGGTCGACGAAACAGCAAAGTTTCTTCGACTCTGCTTTCTTAGCTACGTTCGAACTTGTTGCCAGCTTAACTTTCAAGGAGGAAGCAATGAAACGGAACTATGAGACCCATCCGTTGGAGCACCGAATGCTTCTAACTCGGCCTGATTACCCTTCAACGCGAGTAGCCGAACGAGAAGATATATCTATTCGCTCGGTTTAGGAGAACATCGTCAAGTCGAACTATCGTACTATCCCAATCTCAACACCGCGAACTATTTCGGATATTTAGAGGAACGTTAATATTCTCGATTAACTAATTGTAAGATCCTTTCGAAAATGAAGTACAATTAGTTACAATTCTAATCTAGTAACATAAGTATATTCCTTACATTAACACATATAAATAAATATATATATATATATATATATATATATATATATATATTTATGTAAAGAAGTATGAAACTTTACTTATTTACTTATCATATATGTGGAAGATAAACTCAAAATGAAAAGAAGATCCAAGAAAAACAACAAAGATACCTTAGCCAATATTTCTTCCTTGTCGGGTCCAAGAGAGCGATCGGGCTTTGGTACAGACAAACTTCGATAATCCTCGATAGTATACGGTTTATAGGTAGACTTTTTGGCCAATCTGCTTTCGGAGGCGCTGCTTTTGAAAGATGTTCGTATTCTAGGAAAATTATCCGAACTCTTTGCTGAATCCGTGGAGATGCGAAGAGAACGCACGGTCTCGCAGGATCTGGTAGTACGAGGCAATCGCGTCGCGGAACGCTCGATGAGACGCCGGTAGAAGCTGAGTTCGCTTTGATCGTCCCTTGAGAAGTCGGAAAAGGAGATACGACCACCTCCTCCTTCCTCCATATCGAGTTCCTCGCTGTCTCCGTAAATCGACAGACTCAATCCCTCCGGAGATCGAATAGTGTGTCTGTAACGCGGCAGACCTGAAATCGAGAAAAACAGTGAGAGACTTCGTTCTACCTGTCGTCCTTAGATCGTCGTTTTTAGATCGACATGTGTAACGCTTAAAACGTTTGAGAGATTACAATGGTATGAAATCGTGTATAAAAAATGAGATCTGACATTCCTCGGGATAAACGACTATAAATATAAAAAATAATCGATTGAAACATCCTTTATCATATTCTTTTACATATATCCAACGAAAATCCGATAGAAAATCCTCCATTCTTCAAAATCTCCTCTCGATACGATTTTGACCACGCGTTTACTTAAAACTTACGAACATTTGTCTCATCCGAATTAGTTCCGCACGCCTAACTCAATGCCTTTGGACTATATCAAGCCTCCAAAGTACTTCTACTTTCATACTTAATGGCGCCATTTCTCTTCATGAAATATTATCGTATACGTATCCGCGTGCTCATAATATTAAGAAGAGATTACAACAGCAAAGAAAAAGAGGATGGGATCTATCTCGAAGCGACGAGATTACCCTCTTTCTTCTCTCTCTCTCTCTCTCTCTCTCTCTCTCTCTCTTTCTTTCTCTCTCTCTCTCTTTCTCTTTTTCCTTCCTTTTCCCTTTCCTTCAGCCCTTTTTACAAACTTTACGATCAAGAAAGACGACGTCTAATCAAGAACAAAGAATACATTTTTTCCGACAAAACGGTTTCTTTATCCCTTCCCACTTGTTCTGTTGGAGCTTCTGTACGAGGCCAAGCCTTTACGTTCGTAAAGGGAACGAACAAACTATAACAGTTACGGAGCTAAAATAAATGTAAGTGGATTCTCTCTGGGAAAACAACTAAATCAGAATTTTATTATGTAGAAAAGGCGTGTGCCAGAATAGCTCGTGGCAAATTCAAATGAAAAGAACCGAATGTAATTTTATATGTTACGGTAAATTTAACTCCTTTATCTAAGTCCTATCGTATACCATGAAAACAAATATAAAAATAAAACAAAATAAAATTGAAAATATAAATATTCAACGTAACGAAAATATTCTTAAATATATTTTATAAAACTATAAACTAAAAAGAACTAACTCAATCTACGACGATGAATTTCCAGGTAAGATATTTCTGGCTTTTTGAAGGTCTGCACATTTGACGTTGGGATTACGTTGCCTAACTTTCTGTTAACTTTCACGGTCATCTCGGTGGTAGCTTCCTCGTCGACATGAAAACTGCATTTCGTAGGAGAAGGTACAACCTTTTTAAGGAAAACCTTCTCTATGGGTTTTCGTGAGAAACGATCATCCTCCCTTTTCTTTCCCATTCCATTCGCTTTCTTCTTTCTTCCTTCGCCACGATTTACGCTCTCGTGCTTCTCTCTCTTCACCTCGGCCTCTTCTATTTTTTTCTTTTTCATCGTTGTCGTTGTCCTCGTCGTTGCTGTCGCCGTCGCCATCGTCGTCGCCGTCGTCGTCGTCGTCGAGAATTCTAACTGTCGAGACGTTTTCGCAAGTTTTCCTCTCGCAATTATCGCATTCCTACTGCCGAGAGTGTTCGGTTTCCTGTCGCGACTGCAATTCTGCACGGTTTCATTAAATCTTTCACCGTCTGTAAATATTTTTTCCTTTTCTTTTCCCTTTCCTTGTCTTTTCTTAATAATAATAATAATAAAAAAAAAAAGAAAAAAAATCATCTCTTTTGTTCAATCGAAAACTTCCTTTTGCTTTATCAACGACGTCACTTATTACATACCTACCTCCTCTTCTTTTTCAATTGATTTTAACGACAAAAACATGATAATGTTCAAGCTTGAGCAAAGCTTGAACCATTTTATGCGTGTTAACATAAATAAAAATACAGAGCATTATATAGAAATCCTTTTTACTATTAAAGCGAGAATTAATGTTTCATCGAAAATAAGAAAGCCAAAACAATTCTTACTATTTATAGAAGACGATAGGGATGGAACATGTTTTAAATAAAAAGAAGGACGATTTTGTAATTTTGTCTCTTTTTGCTTGAGGTTAATTATAATATTATTTCTGTTCGAAATATTATCAATTTTTGAATTATAATCTATGTTCTCCAAAGAATCAACGGAGTATATTGACATCTCAAGAACAATTTCTTTTCATTATTCATAATTTTACAATTATAAAATAATGAGTCACAATTAAGAAATATAAAAGATGTTGTTTTATCTATTAAAATCGATAGTACATAAACATTATATACTTAATATTTACTTATATAATAAATCTATACGTCTCGTTTTATTTAACGCGCATGTACCAATACCATTTCAGCTTTAAAAACTTTAGCAATCAAACATCTGTTAAGTAATAAATAACTGTTGGTAACTATCTTAACTATATTCATACATATATATATATATATATAAAGCTATATAAATTCCTTTCAATACATTTTTCCCATTTTTAAAATACTTGCTATACTATCTAAATATTTTTATTTAATTTCGACCGAATATTTCGAGTCTCTACAAATATATATTATCAATTAACAATAAATATTGTTAATAATATATATAAAACGATATTTTTATCAATGGTTTTATTTCCAATCGTTTGGAAAACAATATAGTTGGTAGTACTGATTTTCAACTGGTAAATTTAACACATGAGCATATTATATTTATGAATGACATATGTACATAAGTATTTATTTTGTGTTTAGTGAAGTATTTTTGATTAATTGTACACTTTCATTGACAAATTAAATAACTATTAAATATGAGTAAGACTAACAAAAAGCAAAAGAAAGCTGCTGCTCTGGTAAGATATTTAGAGGTTATAACTTAGAGATATCAACTTTAAAGATATAACATTTGAAATAAATTGTTTATTACTAAAAAATATTATTGTTAATACATTTTATTGCAGAAAGAAAAGAGAAGGAAGACTTTGGTGCACAAAACTAATATAACGACTATTCAAAAGAAAAAGAAGACGAACCAAGTCAATAATTTAAAAAAAAGTAATAACATATCCGATAGTATGAAAAATATAAATGGTATTAGTTCTAATAATATAAAACAATTGATAAAAATAAAGAATGAAGCAATAGATCCAAAAAATATAATAGACAGTAATAGATCCAAAAAAAAGAAAATGAAAAGAAATAAAATACAATTGCAACAAGCTAATGGTAAAAATAAACAGAATAAAGAAACTGTTAAAAGTACGTTAATGTCTCAACATAATCAGACAAAACAATTAAATGCAAAAGGTACAATGAAGAAAAAAAATAATTCTATAAACAAAATTCTGAAACTAAAGAAAATTACAGAAAAAAGAGTTAGATATGCAAAAGATGATAAAGTTATTTCTATAAATAATACAGAATTAGTTAATGATAAAAACAACAGCAAGACTAAGAAAGATTCTAAAGTAAATATCCAACTTTTAAGAGAAATGCTTGCTACGAAAGAAAAATCTGAAAAAAAGCCAAAAAAAATTAAGGAAACATTACCATTAAGAGAAAGGATGATGATGAAATTGAAAGCATCAAGATTTAGATATTTGAATGAAACTTTATATAATAATACTAGTACACAATCTAAAAAATATTTTAAAGAAGATCCCGATTCTTTTATAGCCTACCACGATGGATATAAGCAACAAGTTGCTCAGTGGCCTTTAAATCCTTTAGACGTTATAATAGCATCTATTAAAAATATGTTAGTTCATTTTTTTATTTTATCTACAAAATTATCATTAATAAAGAGGGGGAGAGAGAGAGAGAGAGAGAGAGAGAGAGAGAGAGAGAGAATTTTATTTAAAAATATATTAAAATATATTTAATGATTACAGGCCTAATGATTATATAATAGCTGATTTTGGATGTGGAGAGGCAATGCTTGCAGCATCAATTCAACAAAAAACACATTCATTTGATTTAATTTCTGTAAATGAAAAAGTACAAGCATGTGACATGTCCCATACACCACTTTTAACAAACAGTGTACACATTGTTGTATTCTGTTTATCTTTAATGGGTACAAATCTTGGTGATTATATATTAGAAGCAAATAGAGTTCTTAAAAAGGAGTAAGTAACATTAACAAAATATTACAACTTATATAATAAAATTAAATATTACAAATGTTACTTTTGTTTCAGTGGTATTTTGAAAATTGCTGAAATTGAAAGTCGATTTGACCATATAGAAGACTTTATTAAACTTTTAAATGATTATGGTTTTATGAATACATGGAAAGATTTATCTCAGAATTTATTTTACTTTTTGGATTTCAAAAAAATAAAAGACATTATTACTAATAAAAGTAAACTGCCAATGATTACTTTAAAGTCGTGTTTATACAAAAAGAGATGAATAGATAAATTATAATGACATGTAAATATTTTTTTTTTTTAAGAAAATAAAAAAAAGTCTCTCCTTTTTATTTATTTTGGTATAACACGAATATGTTTTAAAAAAGTCAAAGTATTACCAAGTAACAGATGAAAACTTGTTCCATAAACGAACATTGCTCAATGTTTACTTTTCTTGAAGTAAAACATTTAACATAATATGGATAGTTAATGTACGTGCCGGCTTAAACAAAGTACTTATCTTACAGCACATTGTTCTATACGACACAATTGATAAATTAATATAATATGCAAATTATGTAAAAATATATAAAATTATTTATCTTCGCACGATGAATATTATATTTAACAAAAATAGAAAAAAAACACGATCTTAATAATTTATATAAACATACATATAACTCTTAATTTATAAAATGCACTTTAAAATATTTCTAAATTACTTAGATTTATTTCTTCCGAAATGTTTTCCACTTCGTCTTTCAAATCTTCTATTCTTTCTAAAACTAGAAGCTGTAGAGCAAAATAGATTAAATGTTACAACAGACACTTAGTTAATATGCAAGATATTATTTAATTATAAACTTACGTTAGCTGCAGTAATAATTTGTATAGCAATTCGTTTCGTAAGATACTGTATTTTTTGTTGCATTTCGTATGGGTTTGCCTTAGCTATAGATTGCAAAGTTGTATACCCAGCATTGTACAACTGATATGCTCTACCCTATTAAAACGAATGAAAAGAAGTTTTAATTTTGATAATTAACAGTAAATTGAAACAATATACCATTTTCACTGTTGGAAGTTGCATCAATATTTCCAGTTCTGAAGGACAACAATAAGATAACTTTTTGCTAAAAGTATTTAATAAATCTCGAAATGCCCAAAATTCATCAAACTCCTATAAACAAAATTAAGAATTATAAGATTTATTTAATTAAACATATAATAAAGTTAATTAAACATTTACCTGACAAAATCTAACAACAGAAAAAGAGAAAGATGATACTGTGTTCAATAAATTTTGTACAATTCCTCTGTTTACTTGATATTTTTCAGCTACAGAATGAATTGTATGATGATTCCATAATTCATAAATCATTAAAGTTACATAAAATCTCTGAAGTACTTTAATATTTACATTCTGTGTTTTAAAATATAATTATTAAAATATAATTTTATACCCAAAAATAAAATATAATTAGATATTAAACTACCATACCTTTGATATTATTCCACAATGTAATTTAGTTATTATAAATTCATTTATTCCTATAAGTCTTACTATTTCCATTTGAACGTCTGATAATTTTGTTATCTACAAGTAAAATGTTGTGTTTCCCATTTAGCAAAAATAAACATTTATGATATTATATATAATAAATAATCTTATTTACTTACTGCATCATAATACACAGATCCTATTGGTTGTATTTGATTTAATATGTTATAAGGAGTCATCAAATACAGAAGATGAAGATAATCAGTTAAAATTAAATGTTTTTGTGCTGTTTTTAAATCTTCATATAATTCATATGCAGACTGCAAATCTATACCAGCTACAACATAATTTTATCCAATATTAAACAAAAAATCTTTAAAATCAGTATCATAAAATTGACAACAAGTAATAACTATGAATAAGTAACAAGTATTTTATAAATTATACCTTTGATGGCAGCACGTCCTAAATCACAAAGTTCTAATTTAGTTTTAGATGTGAGAGCCATTATTTGTTTTTTATTTGTTACTTCAGAATCTACTATACATATGGTTTCTTGAGATGGAATAGTAATACTTATGGATTTAATAATATTACATTTATCCATTGTATGAATTTTTAAAACACCATTTTTAAGTAGAATACGTATTGTTTCGTCCATAATCTGTTTAATATTAATATTCAAACGTTTCTGCTGAACACTAAGTAAACTCTTTGCAATTAAAGCATACAATTCAAATCGAGTTGTTGCTATAGATAATAATATAGCACTTAAAATAAGATTATTTATACCTCTATCTTTTTCTATATGTAAAGTGCTTAATGAATCATCCATTTTTGATATCAAAAGTTCCTTGACCTGTGTGGTACAGAGTATAACTCTATTAAGTACTTAAAATACAATATATAAATATAATTGTGTTATATATTATACTACCTGTGGAATTTCATGACTCCTACAAATAAGTATACTTTCTCCAATATTTCCTAACCCAGCACGACCAGCTCTTCCTATCATTTGTTTATATTTACTAATATTTAAAAATTGTCTACCAACATATGGACTTCTCAATATGACCTATCAATTCATATTATAGTAAATAAAAAATATACAATAATTGTTCAAATATTTTTTTTCATTTGAACTACTTACTCTTCTTGCTGGTAAATTTATACCTGCTGCTAAAGTTGATGTACAACATATTACACAAAGAACCTCTTCTCTAAAAGCATCCTCTAATAATCTCCGTTCTTCGGATGTAAGACCAGAATGATGATAAGCTACACCAAATTTTATTGTTTGTTTCAGAATTGGACATAAACCTTCTTCTCTTGTAAGTGCATTTAATAATTTTTCTTTTTCTGCCTTTTTATGGTTTTCCAAGGACCTAAAATAAAATATAACTTCACATAAATTACTTATACATCAATATATTACAGATCTTATTTAATTGATATATATAATATACCTGAATAATACTTTAGTCATAAGTAACGCAATATTTTCACAATTTTTTCGATTAGAACAAAATATAAGACATGAATCCTTTGGTACAATATCCATAACTAAACCTCCAATTTTATCTGGATCTATCACATTAGCTTTTTTTGAATACTTCAAAAAACAAGTATAGTGATAATATAAATATACATAGCAAAAAAAAAATTGATAAAATTATTTTTATTATCAGTAACTTACAGGAAAATGTATTTTTTTCATATCTGTTAATACTTCTTCCTTATGTATATCAATTAACCACATATCATCTTGGCATTTTACATATTCCTGTATTTTAATAGGTCGAAAGGTTCCAGTATATAACTCTGCATTCAAAAACTGGGCTACCTCTTCTAAATTTCCTATAGTTGCACTCATTCCAACTATGTGTATATCCTCTAAAAAATCATAAATCAAAACACATAGAGAAAAATTTTATAGAATCATTACAGTAAAATAGCGGTAATTGATTTAACCATTAATATACATAATTTTTGTAAGAAGACTTTCCAATGTAGCACCACGACCACCATTTTCACCAAGTAAATGTAATTCATCAACTATCAAAAGGCCTATCTGCAATTAAAGTGAAGATTATATAAACTTTTTATTTATAAATTTATTATATAAATTTACATTACTAGCACATTTCACTTACTTCATTTAGTCTTTTTAATTCTATTAAACTATTAATCAATCCTAATGCCTTTTCTATTGTACATATATAAATAGTATTCTTTTTACGTCGTTTCTTAGGAGGATAATGACCTTTTGTAGCAGCATATTCTTCCACCAAAAAACCTAATTCTATAGCAAATGGTGTCATTGTTTGGATCTACATATCATAAAATCATAAATATATTTTTTAATGTATAAATGTATAAATTTTAATGTATAAATTTAATGTCCATAAAATTAAATTTTTTTAAATATATGAGATTATATACCTTTTCTTGTACTATTGCAACAAATGGAAGAATGAAGATAACATTTTTTTTGTTACATATAATTTCTTTAAGCATTAGAATTTCTGCTACTAAAGTTTTACCCCCACTAGTTGGAAGTGCATAAATTAAATTTTTTCTATTTTTTACAGCATCTAATTGCAAACATTCATCCTGCCAACCTTACAAACGTATATAATATAAAAAATAAAATAAATATTTGTTTATTTGTATTACACTTACTATATAATGTATTAAAACCCTTTATCTTATGAATTAATTGTTTTACAGCAACCGGAAGTCCATAAAAAGAATGAATGCTGTCAGTTTTTTTATTGAACTGTATGGTTTCTTTCGTAGACTCTTCATTATCAAAGCACAATTTTTTTGTTGTATTAATATCATCTATAATTGATTTTTTATCTTCTGAAATATTTAAAATTAATTATATATATTCTGATATGCTATTATACAAATTTTGTTTTACTTATAATTCAATTATATATCTATATAGTTATTTAAATTACCTAACTTATTTTGTTCTATGCTTTTATTAGAAATATCAATTATATCAAATATATCATTTTGGCTTGTATCATCTGTCTCATCATCAACATTATAAAATTCGCTAAATGTTACGTCCAATAAACTGCATTGTTTCCATACATTTTCATCTTCCAAAGATTTATCCGATGATTTAATTAAATCAGTTGTTTTCATTGTCTTAATTTCCTGTCCAAATGTTTGTTTTCTACATATTTGTAACAAATTGGTAGTTGACTGTGTTTTAAAAGTAGTTTTTGCTTCTTTATCTTCAGTGAAATTTAAATTTTGAATTTCATTACAAGCTTTATCTTCAATATTTTGTAATAATGTATCATCTAATGAAAGTATAGAAGTAATAGGATTTACAGATTCAGGCGTTACTCCTATATTTGCTTCTATTAATGTATTATTACAGCAATTATCAGCATCAAATATATTCAAATCAAAAAGTGAATTCGTATTATTAGACATACTTTTGTTTACAATCTTATCAAACAATTTTACATTATATAAAATCTTGTAAAAACACTTGTACAGAAAAGTACGATTACGAGAAGTATATTTATATTATAAATACGTGATTTTAAATTAAATGAGCAATTGATAGTCACACACATTGATAGGCAATAATAGTAGGCAACAGTATGTTCGAATCCACCAATGAAAGTGCTGAAGTTAGTTACAGTTCATGTTTATATTATCATTAAAGGTATACAGATAACTGATGATATTAGAATCAATTGGAAATAACTGCATTTGTCCAAAGTACAATCGTCTTACAACAGATGACTCCACTTTTTATTTCTAAATATTGGGTTGGCAACTAAATGATTGCGGATTTTGTCGATAGATGGATTTTACACTTTCCGCAATCACTTAATTGCCAACCCAATATCAATCATTCGAAAAGAATGATAAATTCCGATCTTTGGATTCTTATTTAAAAAAAACGTAATTATTCTATTTTCTTATGATAATAGTAATGTTGTCGACAAATATTGGCCCTACAAACGACAAAATTAAAATGAATCAAAAGCCTGATGCGACTTATATTACATTTTATATTATGGACTGATTTCTAATAGTCATCATCCTTTTATTACTATCTGATATATATATATATATATATATATATATATATATATATATATATGCATTATCGGAACATGAGGCAATACGCACATACGTACGTATATATATATATACATTCAACAAAATAATTATTTTTGATAGTAGCACACAGCGCCTTCTTCTTGCGATAGATGATTCGTAAAGAATCAGTAGAAGCTTCCTATCGTCGTCACAACAGCGCAACTGCTAAAGTTGTACGTCACTTGTTCGTAATATCAATCAATTTTAACGTATTTACATTAAATAAAAAGCTGTAATTATTCGAATTTTAGACAAAGTCTTTGAAAGTAATCAAGTGTCTATAAACGCATAGTGATATAAAATGAAGGAGATATTAATCGCGCTTTGCGCGATTTTAGCTGGTAAGTATCGTTCTTTGTTCTTTCACGACGTAGTTATCTTACTACTTCCATATCGATTGTTTATATCAAAATGGCAAATAAATGACAGGAATGTTTTGTAATTCCCTTTTCTATTCTTGTTTTATTTTATTTTATTATATTTAAATATTTAAATTAAATGTATCACTGTATACGACTTTACATTTAAAAAAATAGTCATGATAATGACCCTTAAAAAAGAACTCGTCAATCTTGAATTTTTATTACTTAGAAGAAAGGAACATTTATTGAGCACATAAGGAAGATGACTCAGGCATTAATAATGTGCTTCAGGAAACATTAATCATACTTTGAATATGTAGAATTTGTAATTCCTTCAATATTAATATACATTAAAATGTTAATACATTAAAAAGTTAATATGCATTAAAATTGTTTTCTTTATTTTTGTTTTGTAGTATCCACAGCTAAATCAATTATTACAGCAGAAAGTGCACCCTATCTTTTGGGAGCTAAAGAATGTACATGGGGTCCATCTTATTGGTGTCATAATATAACGTAAGTTTAGTAATATATATATTTAATATAAAATATGAAAATAAATATTACCTATAAATACTGTACTATAGAAAAAAATTTTGTTAAACTTTGTTTTAATAGTATTTAGAGTAAATACATTGTTTGTTATTTCAAGAAAGTTTCTTTAGAGATTTATATGGTTATCTATAAATAAGGTGTCAAAGTTTAATTTATTCATATTTAGAATATTATTTGTATCAATACTTAACTATAAAATAACCAGACTCTTTCTTTTTCAAATAATAGAACTTCTGCAAATTGCAATGCCACCCATCACTGTATTAAAAAGGTTTGGGAGAAAATGGAAGTACCAGAAGATAATGATACAGTTTGTGGAGTATGTAAAGACATGGTGCAACAGGCACGAGATCAACTGGAAAGTAATCAGACTCAACAAGATTTGAAAGCAGTCTTTGAAGGCAGTTGCAAGCTGATTCATATTAATCCAATAATAGAGGAATGTATAAAACTTGTTGATCAATTCATTCCTGAACTTGTGGAAACTTTGGCTTCTCAAATGAATCCATCTGTAGTATGTTCTGTAGCAGGTCTTTGTAATTCAGCACATATTGATATATTACTGAGTAAATTTAAAGAACAAACATCAGAGGTAAGATTATCATTTCTTTTTTTATAATGTAAGCTTCTTTATATTTATAGCATTGGAAAAATAACCTATTGACATATAAATACATATATATGATACAGCTCTTAAATGTTTATGAATGTTTTAAGATTAGATATTGCTAAACATAAAACACAGTCTAGTATAAATAAGGAGTGAGCCAAGTTTTTATACGTTTCAATATAACAAAGCATTCTTATTAAAATGTAAGGGTATTATTTTTTATGAAATTATATTTTTAGAATAAGAAAATAAAATCCATTTCATTGGAGAAAGATGAACTCGAACCTGATGAATGTTCTAAATGTTTTACGATTGCAACACATATGGAATATAATTTAAAAGATATATCAAAGGACAAAATGTTGCAACAGATGCTCGATATTTGTGGAAATTTCAGCTCATTTTCAGATGCTTGCTCATCCATAATTCTGACATACTTTGATACGATTTACTCTCATCTTCAAGACAACTTCAATGCACAGAATATATGTCATTTATCAGGCCAGTGTAGTGATAAGTTCCACAAACATGAAGATGGAACTGTAAAGGTATACATGATAAATATTACATAATAAAAAAAAAAAATATATATATTAAATTTATTATAAACATTAAATTACAGCCTATAAATGTAGAAATAAGGCCACTTTCCAGTGTTGGTATGGTTGAAGTTGATGATGATCTTCCATGCAAACTATGTGAACAGCTTGTAGGTCATTTAAAAGATTTGTTAGTAGCAAACACTACAGAAGCTGAATTTCATTTAGTGCTTCAAGGTCTTTGTAAACAAACGAAATCTTTTGCTACTGAAGTATGTATTCTGTCTTTATTAACTAGTTTTTCTATTTAACTCTCTACAGTTACAAAATTTAATTATGTATTTATATAGTGCAAGGCAATTGTTGATGAATATTATCCAGAAATATATACATATCTCACGACAAAGTTAAATGGCAACCTTGTGTGTCAAATGTCTGGAATCTGTCCCAGTCCAGGAAAAAGAATAACTGTATGTAATAGTTATGTAAAGCATAGTTTAAAATTAGCAAATATAATCATTATGTTAAATATATGTTTACTTTACTATACAGGGTTCAATTGCACCTCTGATTCCTATAAAAGCTGCAGAAATTGGTCTACATATTTTAAATAAGAAAATTGATACAGAAATTGATAATAAACATCATAACACAGAAATAGAAGAAATGCAATTACCAATAGAAAGATATGGTCTTTCTTTAACTGGTCCAAGAACATTAACAGGTGTTGACAGCAAAGAAGGATGTGAATTATGTGAATATGTGCTGCATTATGTACAAATCGCTATTACGGATCCTACTAATGAGGTATTAATTATTGGATTAAGCTTTATGATAGAATTTGAAAAATAATAATTATGATTTTGATTTCTTTTCAAGGAAAAAGTAAAACAAATTATTGGAAAAATATGTAAGAAATTACCAAACAGTGTTGAAAGTGAGTGTGAACAATTTATTAATACTTATGGAGATGCAGTTGTAGCTCTTTTAGCTCAAGAGATCGATCCATCTCAAGTAAATATATAATTTTCTTAACAATATTAGATATTCATGTAACTTTTAAACAAAGAAAAAACATTGAAATATATCATGAGATTTTATTTAGGTATGTCCAATGATACATATATGCCCATCAGAAGAGCTGATAGAACTTTGGAATAAAGCTCCTAAAGGCTACATAATTGAAAGACATGATAAACCAAGTTGCCCATTATGTTTACTTGCTCTAACACAAATCTATAATACTATTAAGGACAACAAAACAGAAGTAATTAAATTAGCTCATTAAATCAGATCTTTCGTTTAGATTTTTTTTTTTACATATTTTTTTATGTTATGTTCAGGTTAAAATAAAAGATGAACTTGATAAATTATGCAGTCATTTGCCAAACTCTTTGATTGATCAGTGTACAGATTTTGTAAAAGAGTATAGTAAGGAACTAGTGGAAATGTTACTTGCTGATCTTACACCAAAAGAAATTTGTGTTTATATCAAGTTGTGCAATCCGGAGGAAGATTCAGGACCAAGAAACTTATTCTTAACTGATAAAGATGGTGAAATAAGTAAGTCTAATTAATGATTATTAATGATTAGACAAATTTATAATTTATAAAATGTATTATTATTTTTTTTTTTTTTATAATTCAGTGACTAATGAGATACCTGACTTTTTGCCACTACAACCGAGTATTAAAAATAAAGTAAAGGATAGTACAACTTGCGTTATGTGTGAATTTGTGATGCAATATATTGATAAAGAAATGACCAAGAAAAAAAACAGAGATGAAATCGAACATATCGTTTATGGTATTTGCAAACATCTTCCAAAGACAATTTCTAAGGAATGTAATAATTTCGTTAGCCAATATGCCGATGCTGTAATACAAATTCTTTCGGAGGATATTACACCAAAAGAAGTTTGTACGATGATCGGTTTCTGTACAGTTGATACGAGAAAGATAAAAGGTATCGTATTTATATTTCTTTGTTCTGATATCTTAATAAGTTTGATTATATATAATATATATATACACACACACAATATTTGTTTACAATTCTAATAGAATCTATGGAAGAATGCGCTTTATGTCAATTGGTTATATCGACAATCGATAAACTTCTGGATAATCCTAAAGTAGATAGCGATATCGAAGAGGTCGTATCGAAGATTTGCAAATATATGCCAGCAAACAAACAAAATAAAGTAAATTAAATTATCATAATAAATCTTCATGTATAGGTTTTTGAATAATACAATTATACATAAGCGGTATATATCATATGTTTTAGTGCGTTATGATGATGGAGGTATACGAACAAAGTATAATAAACATAATTAAATCACATGGTGATGTTAAGAAAATATGTAGTAAAATTGTACTGTGTTCGAAGAATGATTATCTCGCTATGATGTTAATGCCTGCACGTATCAAACCATCCGATATGACAAATGAAAAATGTAAATGGGGTCAGAATTATTGGTGTAAGAATTATGAGAATGCCGTCAAATGCAAGGTTTGCGTAAAATTTTTTCTTCTTTTTTATACATAATAAGAAAATCTTTTTATGAATATTACTATTCATTTGATCTTGTTTTATTCTATTAAGGCTGTAGAGTATTGTAGGAAGAATATATGGAAAAATTTTGCAATTGGACAAAAATAATCCATGATTCCAATATCACCTGGAAATTAAATCCGCATAAGCAGCAATACATCATGGTGTTTCTTTAGATAAGAAGCCAGTTATTATAATAATATGTTAATGATATATGTTCGTGGCAATTTATTTTAAACAAAAAAAAAAATAAATAAATACATAAAAATAAGTAGATTGTCAAGGATATAGCGAATGAAAAGATCTTCCAAGATTATTATTCGCAACTAAAATTTGTTTATATAGTTTTTTTTGAATGTAAGAAGATAACTATATATGTCATTATTAATATTGCTGCAAATAAATTGCTTTAGCTTTTATAAAATTTGAGTCTTGTAATAATTATTATTATAATGAAAGATTTTAATCTCACATTTCTTAGTTCTTTAAAAATGAGATTAAATAAGTGTATTTTATTTACGCAAAGTTATGCGATTTATTCTAAAATAAATGTTTGCACTAATTTAAAATTCATTGTGATAATTATATTTCAAAATAAAGCTTCTATCTCGATGCTTAAATAACATCGATGATTAATAATAATTATAATCTAATATGTTAAGTTTCGATATTTTGTAAAGTATATAATCTGTAATCAAATATTATACATCAATGACATGTAACTCTATTATCAATATAAAATGTAATATGTCCTTTCTGCTTTAAGAACGGTTTAGTAATGGTAACACTGATATCATTTTAAGTTATCATAATTTATATTTTATTATTGTCTTCTTATCAATAGTATGTAGATACATGAAGAAAATCACATTATATACGCCAATTTATCATTTTTTAAATGGAAATACGTTAGAAGTTTTAAAAAATTAAAAAGCTTAGACATTTTACTAATTATTATTATTGTTTTTCTTCAATATTAATAGTATATACACAATATAAAATACGTAGAAAATATAGTTTTATCTTAAATATACATTATCTTTGATAAAATGTTTCGAGAGATTAACATCTTAGGCTGCAAAAAGAATGGTAACAAATAGCAAGTCGACTTTTAATGTCAATAAAAAAAATAATTATTGATATATATATATATATATATATATATATATATATATATATATATAAACGATTTATTATTTAATATCGAGTTGGAAATCTTGCTAATTTTTTCCATTCTGTTTACAGTCTTTAACTCTTACAAACGTACTGTGCGTTAAAAATAAGAATTATCACAAGCCCTTTTGATACTTCACTTTATTCGTGAATATATTATGGACTCATTAATAATTTTCTTCTAATAGTATTTACTACGTTGAAACTAAAAATTGAAAAACCAATATAAAAACAATATTATTATTATCTGATAATATTATTTTAAAATTTTAGCAAACAAATAAAATTTCAAACCTGTGCCTATCACGTTTCATAATGAGTTGCATTTCATGTCGCCAACGATAAATGTTTGGATATGTATCAGGATCAATAGAAGGCGAAACAGCATTGTATACAGCATAATCAATTCTTGTTGGTATGTCACTAAAAAAATGTGATGTATATTAGTTCACCATTTCTAATAGATTAATAACTGTATATAATTATAAATTAGATTATAGAACATTTTCAAAAATTGTCTGATATTACTGACTTTTCAATAAACAATGTACAGCCTTCTTCTGCAGTATACATATCATCTTCCGAATCAGAATGTATCAATGGTGGAGTAGATGGTGGAGTAAAAAATTCATCTATAAATCATGAGTAGTAATGAATAATTAATCGTGATGAATAAATAAACATATACACGCACAATACTTATATTTTGTAAATTACATTGATCATTACCATTATTTTCTATGCTAAATTTATTTTGTGAATCGTCGGATAAATTTGTGATTCCTGATAGATTCATTACATCTGAATATAAATATATTATTAGCAAGTATTTTAAAGATATTAATTTATCATATTGATATTTTTTAATTAATTTCTTAATTTTTATATACAAGAAACAACTTACTTTCATCGTTATCATTTTCATCGGATTTATTGAATAACGAAATCGATTTTAATTTGAGACATAGTCTATCAAACTCATCACAAAAGTCTGGTTTTGAATCTATATTGGATTTATCAATTGTTGCTTTCTATAAAATAGAAAAAAGAATATCATATATGCGTGTATATACATATATATATATATATATATATATATATATATATATAATTCAAATATATATAATTCAATGCTTGAACATACCTTATCACAGTAATATGATTGTTTAACAAATCTTTGTTCCAAATATTTTTCCAATTTTGCCAAACCATCAACACAATGAAAATCAGCAAAATCATTCAAGAAATGCCAATATTCTTTCCAAGATACTTTATATTCTTCAGCAAGATTTCTATACAATAAGTTTTGAAATAATTCATTATAATTATGATAAATAATTACGCTAAGCTTATAAAACATTTATACAACCGTCCAATTCGTTCAAGTCCTTTTTCTGTATCCTGAAGTCTTAAAGTTAAATTTTCGTTGGAAGAATTTAAAATATTAATTTCTTGAATATCTTTTTTAATAGGAGTAATACAACGACGTGGTGGTGTTTTCCATTTTTTCCTAAATTCTACTGCTTGTGACTTTGTCATAGGTCCAGCAAATGCACGTACCTTAACACATGGACTAATAGGATCGTTATTAAAATTCTGAAAAATGATGTTTAATAGTTATAATATAATCTAAAACAATTTTGAATAAGATTTTTATAATAGTACATATACCAAAGGGCTTGTTGGAGAAAATGGTTCACCAATGGTTGGCTGCATTGTTTTATCATCAGCTCTCAATACTGGAACATAATACTGTTCCTCTAATAGCATACGTATTTCTTTTATTAGCAATTCATTTCCTTGGCACTTTCGCTTACATATCATCTGAAATAATCGCAGAGTATTAAGATAATGTAAAAAAAATAATATAATAGCAAAAATTACTTAATACTTACATCAACAGGTGCTTGGCCAAACTTATTAGTCAAAGTTTTAATACATTGTGAATAAGAAACAAAAACTTTAACTACATCTCGAAAACCAAATTTAACTGCAAAGTGTAAGGGTGTCTCATTTAATCCTTTGTCAGGTGTATTTAAATACAAATCTAACATAACATCAGCACGATCCACATAGCTTTTATTTCCTTCTTCACCATAAAATAAATGCATGAATTCTGTATCTCCTATAGCATTTAATATCAATTCACATATATCAGCCCAACCAGCTTTCGCTGCTATATGTAATGCATTATATCGACAACCTTCCTATAAGAACAAGTGACATTTATAATGTATAGCAATTAAATACTTCTATAAAGACAAAATAATTACGTACTTGTAAAATTGCAGGTGTATCTCCACTGCTAATTAAATATCTAGGATTTCCCCAAATTGTATCTTTTACTGCATCTAAATCTCCACTTTCTATCAATTTTTTAAAACATATAAGATCTTGAGTCTTAGGACCTTTAAAGTTACTTGATTTTTCTTCGATCACAGGGACTCCTACATTAACAGAATTATTAGCACAATTGTACGTTTGTTCATGTCCAGTTGTTGCATATTCTTCAGCATCAGTATAAGACTTAAATGTTTTCAGACGTCCTGTTTTATGTTCCTTTATTACTTTTAAAGCTTCAGCTTTGTTTGTATAAATATGAAGATTATCTAAAATATATAAATACAATAGAACCAACTTCTATGGCATATATTAAAATATATATATATATCATTTTTATAATTACCTTTTGTATTATTGTCTAACAATTCATTGTTCTCATGAGGTATATATACAGCATGAAAACCAGTTCCATTTGCGAGGTTATGATTCTTAAGATGTTCATTATCCATTTGTGATATTTTATTGTTTTTATCAGTCAGATGATTATTTATTATATTATATATTTAATCATATACTTAACTACATACAATACACACTTTAATAATATAATCACAATATCTATTTTTAGTACAAAAATTATCACGCCACAAAAAAAAAACAACAGTAACAGCCGTATATCCGATGATAAAGAATGTATAATATTGTTGGTATGGAATAGTAATAAATATTCACACTTGTTAAAATACTATTAAAATATAATATATCATTTGATTTATAAATATCAATGACGAGTAAAAACTTTTGTTAAAACATTCCATTTTATAAGAACGAACTCCTGAAGTTGTTAATTATGACGAAACTGACCAATGCATATAGTCAATTGTTTGCTATTCTACACGTCATTTATTGGTATACTTACATTGTAATAAAAATAATATACATTAATCAACAACTCTTGTATTTTTTAAGTAAAATGAATTTAATATTGTTCTGACCATTTACTATAATTATTTTTTTTAAACAAAACAAAAATTTAATAATATTTTGAATTTACAATAAATATACATTCGCATATACAAGGAATGAAAAAACGCGCCAATGTATCAAAGAATATAACTCTGCATGGATTAATAAAACAAGAGAACAGGATTCGCTAAAAATAACCTCTAACATTTTTAGTAATTAAACTAGAGATATTACTCAAAATGACAGCAAATAACTATATGAAAAATAAGAATTTTTATTTTACATTTATGTTTTTTGGAATAAAGAAGGATATAAAATATTTTCAAATTAACATTTTCTAATTGAATTGTTGATTTTTGATTAACTATTGGCCAACTTCTTATCCAATCATATTTCATTAAAACTTTTTAAGATTAATTCTTATAAATTTTGATTTTAAACTGAACAAAATATTCGTATGTTATTCGTTGACAAGTGAGTTTGTTGATTCATGGATAAGCACTAATTATGAAAAATTAATTATAAGTGCAGGAAACAAGGGAATCATATTACTGTAAAATTTCCAGAGTGAGATTAATAATTCATTATTATAATTATTATATATTTGTTATTTTTTCGTTATACTAATAACATATATTATAACTATTACTCTAAAATATTCACTATTTGCAACACGTGATCTTCAGAGCATATGCTTCAACAAACGTAGAGGAAGGTAGAAACACTATATAAATAGTACCATATTTTATGAAAAACCAATTAGATTTTATTAATAATTAAAATAAATAAATGTAATAAAACATTGTATATTACTTTAGTAATTTACTTTATTTTTAGAAATCAATAGATTGTGTTTTATTTGAAGGTGCAAAGGTGAGAAATATATGCCGCACAATTGATAATCATTTTGATTATGTTTTATGAATTAAATTTGTTTATATTTTCCAGCTGCAAATATAAAAAAGAAAAATAATGCAAGACCAATTAAAAGAGTTGGCAGTAGCCTTATATGATATTGGAGCTGTAAAGTTTGGAGAGTTTATAACCAAAGTTGGTCTGAAGACACCTATATATTTTGATTTACGTGTTATGATAGCATATCCTCAAATAATGGTAAAATAGAAAAAATAAACAAGATACATATTTTGCTTTCATTGAAAACAATAAGAGATGAGTAATATGAAATATTGAAAACAATAATATAACATTTTTTTTACAGTCTAGATTAGCAAAAGCTCTTTGGCAATTAGCAAAGACTCAAACTGATACAATTCAACTTTGTGGGGTACCTTATACTGCTCTTCCATTAGCTACTTTAATTTCAGCAGAATATAATATGCCAATGTTGATTAAGAGAAAAGAAGCTAAGAATTATGGTACAAAAAATCTTATAGAGGGTAACTTTAAGTCAGGCGATCACTGCATAATAATTGAGGATGTAGTTACAAGTGGAAGTAGTGTTTTAGAAACTATATATGCTTTAAAAGAGGAAGGCTTAATTGTAACTGAAGTTTTGGTGGTAATTGATAGGGAACAGGGTGGAAAAAAAAACTTAGAAAATAAAGGAATCAAAATGCGAAGTCTTTATGATGTAACTCTATTAATGGATTACTTGTTAGATTATGGTAAAGTTACACCAGAAATTGTAAAAGATGTAGCAAATTATTTAAAATCGTGTCAAGCACCAATCCCTTCTTTGCTAGGTAATTATTTTTATATTTTTTTTTTTATACTCATAATTATTCCTATTTAAGATAATAAAATTTTATATTCATTCCAGTGAGTATAGTGAACGAAAGACTGAAAACACCATTTAGTATACGTGCAAATCAAACCAAAAACGCAGTGGCTTCTAAATTGTTTCAATTAATGGAAACAAAACAATCCACTTTGTGTTTGGCAGCTGATTTAACAAAAATAAATTCTATTTTAGAATTGGTTGAACTTGCTGGACCACATATCGTGATTTTAAAAATACATGTAGATATCATAGAAGATTTTTCTTTTGATTTTTTGAAACGTTTAAAGGAATTAGCAAAGCAACACGAATTTCTGATTATGGAAGACAGAAAATTTGCAGACATTGGTAATACAGTCTTATTACAGTATAAAAACGGAATATACAAAATAGCAGAGTGGGCTGATATTATTACAGTACATCCAATTGCTGGACCTGCTATTATAGATGGCTTGCAAAGTGCCTTAAATGGTATTATTGAACCACGTGGTATTTTTATGGTTGCTGAAATGTCTGCAAAAAATGCTTTAACTACTGGAGATTATGTACAAAGGGCAGTGTCAATTTCTAAAGAATCTGACATGGTAATTGGTCTAGTATGTCAATCAGATATTATTCCAAACTTAGGAATGCTTCAGTTAACACCTGGTGTTAAGTTACACAACAATTGTGATAACTTAGGTCAACAATACAACACACCTGAATCAGTTGTTAATTCGGGTGCTGATATAGTCGTTGTTGGTAGGGGAATTATTGAAGCAACGGATCAATTAGGTGCTATATTAGAGTACAAACAACAACTTTGGATAGCTTATAAGAAAAGATTATTAAGATAAGTAATATGGGATTAATATATATCTATATACATATGTTTATATATACATATATATGAAAAATACGTTTTTACTATATTTATACATAAGAATATTTGCATATAATTTGAAAATAGTACAACTAATATACCTATATCAACAAAGAAATTAAACAACAATTATTTTACATACAAAATTGTAACAAAGTATATGTATAATTTCTGATTAACCCAACATTTTATCACTTATACGAGATTGAAATTATACTATATAGATACACACATTTAGTAATTGTGTCATGTAAAATATTTGGTTTTATATTATAAAATATATGATTTTTATTTTGTATCTTACAATTTTATAGTTTCAAGCTTCCTTACTTTTAGTAAGTTCTTCAACTAATTTTCGAAATACTTGCGCAACTTGACTATTGGGAAGAGTAACTAAAACACTTTGAGCTTTATCTTGTAATCTACCAACTTGAGGATCTATAGGTACCTTAACTAAAAATGGTATCTTTACCATTTCTGAAAGAGCTGTTCCTCCACCCGATGAAAATATATTTGTACACTCCTAAAAACAAGAAAATAGAAAAGAATTAAGAAAATATTTACTATTATAACAAATTAAGTTTCTGAATAATTTTTTATTGGAAGTCTTACTTCACAAGATGGACAAACAAAACCACTCATATTTTCCACAATACCAATTATAGGAATCCCGGTTTTTCTACAAAATGTAACTTCTCTCAAGACGTCATCAACTGCAACTGCTTGAGGAGTCGTAATTAAAATTGCACCATCACATTTAACATTTCTGAAATTTATTTGGAATTTACTGATACGAAATTTATATATATAACATATGTTTTTAATGATTTCTTAGCCTATATAGAAGGATATTATAAAAATCATAAAGATAATTGCTTTACTTTAAGTTTTCCATCACTGTGATATGTTCATCTGAAGTACCAGGTGGTGTATCAATAATTAAGTAATCAATATTTTCCCATACTACATCTGTTAAAAATTGCTTAATCATAGCTGTTTTTTTAGGACCACGCCAGATTACGCTGTCATTTTGATTTTTTAATAAAAAACCGATTGACATAACAGATAGTCTCTGCTCTGTATCAGCAAATACTGGTACCCATCTACAAAGACGTATTATATAGAATTGTTAACTTGGCGTATAACTTTTACTCAACTAAAATTGATGTAAAAAATGATTAATAAAAAATCTTTGATTTACCCATCAGATGATTGATGTACATCTTTATCCTCTAAGTTTAATAGATATGGTACACTGGGACCACAAAGATCTACATCCAACAAGCCAACCTAATAACATTTTAATATTTATCCTTCCTAACCTAGTGCACTTACATTAAATTTTGACAACTCACTTTAAATCCAGATTCTTTAAGCGCAAGGGCCAGTTGTGTACTAATAGTAGATTTGCCTACGCCACCTTTTCCAGAAAGGACTAATACCACGTGTTTCACTCCTTCTAACATCTCGCAACATAAAAATATAAACAAATTATGACTGCACGTAGTTTACACAATATTTAGTTGTTTTTACCTAGGTAGCACTGTTACTATAATCAATGTAGATACATACAGCATTGATTGGTTGAAACTTTTGCGTTTTATTTAAAAGTAGTATTTGAAATATTATTGATTTCACCACGATTAAATCGATTGAGAAGTTCTAACAATGTTTGTTATTATTAATGTTTTTAAGTATTAATTATAAAACACACTAGGAAATATATATTTCACATATTTTTTGAAATATTTTAAACTGCTAATTGAAACGTCATACGATCCAGAAGTAATCAATAAGCGTGCACCTGTTTATGATGACATTTAAAAATGGTATCTAAATTTTTCTTTATAATTGGAAATATATGATTAAATATAAATTCTTTGAATTTACATTTTTATCTATACATTCTATTCTATACATCTATTTATACATTTTATCTATATATTTTTATCATTACATTCATTTTGAATTACAGATTTTGTCAAGAGCAAAACCAGCTTCTTCAGAAGGATCAAGATTATCTGCATCACGTACTAATATACCAAAGTTAGAAGAATTTTTAGAAAAACGTGATTACATAGGTGCTTTAACTCTTTTAGAATTTAACAGTACTTCTGGCAGTAATTTGGAATCAGAATTATGGATGGGTTATTGTGCCTTTCATCTTGGAGACTACAAGCGAGCTCTTACTATTTATGAAAATCTTAAAAAAAAAGAAAATGTTCTAGTCGATTTAATTACAAATTTAGCATGTTGTAATTTTTATCTTGGGATGTATCCGGAAGCACAAAAATTATTGGAAGAAGCACCTAATAGTAAATTGAAGACAAGACTTTTATTTCATTTAGCACACAAAATGGGTAATGAAGCAAAATTGCTGGAGTATCATCAAATGTTACATGATGTTTTGGAAGATCAACTTAGTTTGGCATCCATACACTATCTTAGAGCACATTACCAGGAGGCTATTGATGTTTATAAACGGATATTGCTTGATAACAGGTTAAGTATTGAATTATTATATCAGAAAAAAAATTAATTAAATAAGAAAAAATTTTAATTAATATTCTGATAATATAAGTATCCTTATATAAAAATAAGAATTTTTTGACAATTCAGTTTTGTAGTTACTAATTGATTTCATATGCATTTAGCAAAGTGGATGAAAGAAAAGAGAACAGTTTTATGCATGAAACTGATTCAGAAGTATATTTTATTACACAATTAAAAAATTGCAGGTATCCATCTCCCATCCTATTTGCACCCTTAGTATTTAATCCAATACTTTCCTACCATATATTATGTTTATAACAATTATTTACCATCAAAGTATTTAATAATTTTATAATATTTAATAATTTTATAATTTTAAAAATACTTTTTAAAGGAAATATGATTTTTTTCAGAGATTATGTAGCTTTAAATGTATATGTAGCTTTGTGCTACTATAAGTTAGATTATTATGATGTTGCACAAGAAGTTCTGCAAGTGTACTTACAAAAATTTCCAGATAGTGCAATTGCAATCAATTTGAAAGCTTGTAATCATTTTCGTTTATATAATGGTAATGCTGCACAAGCTGAAATGAAGCAGCTTATAGGAAAGATATCAAGCTCTTTTAGTTTTGGACATGATCTTATTCGTCATAACACTGTTGTATGTACAGTTTTCTTAATTAATAAATGTAAAGAAAAATGTTATAATAAAAATGATTTTACAAAGGTAAAATCAAATCACTTTTAAAATCAGTAATGTAATCAATATTATAGGTATTTCGAAATGGGGAAGGAGCTTTACAAATTTTACCAAATTTAGTAGATGTTATACCAGAAGCTCGACTTAATTTGGTAATATATTATTTAAAGCAAGATGATATAAAGGAAGCATATGAACTTATTAAAGATCTTGAACCTGCTGTTCCACAAGAATACATTTTAAAGGGCATAGTAAATGCTGTAATGGGTCAGGAAATAGGTTCTGTAAGTTAATAGATTTTTTAAATGAGATAGGTAGTTATAATATAGATTCTAAGATTCAATAGTAAAGTGATAAATATTTTTAGCGTGACAATATAAAAACTGCTCAACAATATTTTCAATTGGTGGGTTCTTCTGCATCAGAATGTGATACCATACCTGGTAGACAATGTATGGCATCTTGCTTTTTCCTTTACCGACAATTTGAAGAAGTTCTGGTTTATTTAAACTCAATTAAAACTTATTTTTCTAACGAAGATAATTTTAATTTTAATTATGCACAAGCACAATCTGCAGCAGGTTATTTTAAAGAGGCAGAAGAAGCTTTCTTAATGATACACAATGAAAAATACAAAAATGATTATATTTACATCAGTCTTTTAGCTTATTGTTGTAAGTTTAATATGTTGTAAGTTTATGTTATTTAAAAAATAAGTACTATATTTAATAAATGAATTTAATCTTTTTAGATATTATGAATAAAAAAGCAAAACTTGCATGGGAGTTATATTTAAAAATGGATACATCAACAGAATCATTTAATTTATTGCAAATGATTGCGAATACTTGTTACAAAGTGGGTGAATTTTGGTATGCTGCTAAAGCATTTGATATGTTAGAACGAATGGATCCTAGTCCAGAACATTGGGAGGGTAAACGTGGAGCTTGTTGTGGTACATTTCAATATATTGTCGCAGAAAAACAACCAACGTATGTTTTATATATCATATGTTAGATAGAATATAAACTAACATAGATAAATGAATAGATAGATTGATTTGAAATTAATATTCTTTTTTTACAGAGATCTACTTCCTGAAATAATTCTTTTGCTTAGAAATACATCTAATTCACAAGTGGAACAAATTATTCGTGTTATGCGTAAATGGGGTAAAGATAACAGGATTAATTGTTAATGCTGTGATGTATAATGATTTAATAATCAATTCCGTCCATTAATGGCCTTGTTTCTTATTTTCTTTTATATTCTATGAAAATATCGTTAATTGGCAAAACAATAATTAATTATATAATACGGGACCAACGTGAATGCTCAAAAACTATTGTTGTTTTGTTATGAAACAACACTGCTTGTGGTTGCTGCTTTAATATAAAATAGATATATTTAAACCGTGATACACTCATTTGTATAATAATAATTACGATATAATAATAATAATAACCTTTAACAAACATAATTAAAGTATTTTAAAAACGCCATAATTTATGACGTACTATTTTTCTTCTACTTTCATGTACGATTAGCCGACGTCCTGTAGCATAAATTTGAAAAATTTTTAAACATATTTATATGTTATAAAGTAACTTGAATCATATACACTTCTTCGAAAATATTTCTATTGAATAGATGCTACAATGAAACTAAAAGAAAAAGATTTAATTTAAAATAAAAGATAAAATTAAAAATTTTAATGTTTATAACATAAAAAAACAAAATAAATTTTAATCTATAAGTTCTTTGTAATATCTTGTTAAAAAAAATGAAAATAACAAGTACTTTTTTCAGTAAAATTAAATTTAATTATTTGATTGATGATACTAAAAGATATTTTCCATTTTATTCATAAAATGCATTATTACTTAGCCAGTACTAGTACAAATATAGAGAAGGAGTGCCTAGTACCAATTATTTCTACATAGTTACATATAAAAATAGCACCAAAATGATTAACGATATACATACTAGCATGTTAATGCAAATTTCATTTTGTATGATATCGATTCTTCTCTGAAATACATCTTATTTCTCGGCACTCATTCTCTAACTATGTTTATCTACATTTGAGTCTTCAGTACAGTCCGTCAGGTGAAATAACTTTAATAGTCCACACTAGTATTCAATTATTACACTCCATAATTTAAAAAAGATCACCGTTTTTCAATTGCACGATACATACACTCAGTATCCGTTTCATCAAACGTTGACACTCTAAGATCAAGTTAAAATTGATTATGCTAAAGGTGTAAATATAGTAGTAATAAAGCAGAAAGTATATGCAATGTTCATTTAAAGTCATTCATGTATTACGCTTTCTTTCTATCATTCGTTATCACTTTCACACATTCTCTCACACATAGTTTTGAAAAGATCCTACGAATTTTGTGCTCCCACTTTCGTATGTTCATATACATTATGATGAAAGTATCTTTTTGGCAATTTGCTACTAGCCAATAAGGCTCGATGTTGTAGCATGGGCGGCGTTATCTACCGTATTAATTAATTTTCAAAATTCTGTACATATAAGAGAGTAATTGTCAGATCATTACAGTGACAAATATTATGCAATATCCTTATGAGCATCCCTTCAGAATACAGTTAGTTTTAAGAAACATATACATGCGTAATATTAAGAGAAACTTTCTACTTCATTAATTGTTTTCATATTGAAGAACAGTTGTCAGAATTCGTTCCATTTATACGAAAAAACTAATTGCATTAACAACAATTATTATTCATTAATTTATGTAGTCAATGTAAATTCTTTCACTACTGCATTTTCTCAAGTTAGGTCAATTATAGAATAAATAGTTATTTAATGACATTTATATACCTGTTAACGTTAATTCTTAATAACATTAATCATAGATGAACAAGTTAGCTGTTTTAGCAATTTATAACGTGATGAATGAATATTTGATTATATCGCGGTATGTTTTTTATCATACAGGTATATCGAGAATTTTTTTCTGTTTTCTAAGAAATTTCTGTACTCGAAAGGATGATGGATGCTGCACTTATACATCAAAGCATTTATACGTAGCGTAGATTCGACCAAGCAAAGGATCTATGCAACGTAAAAATGAATTCTTATACCGATAAATTACACAATAAAGTAATAGTAAGAAAACGACTATTTAAATAATCATGTACGCACGATCATTATAGTTTTGACCCCGTTCTTCAGAAAATAATTTTCTATTCCGTGCACCAAATGCAAAACTATATTATTCGTTCGTATTTGTACATGGAAATAGGAAATCAATTTCTATCATTTATTTAATGATTATAAAATAGGGTCCAATATTATTATTCATACAATTCGAAGATACGCAACGTGTTTTTGAATTTATACAGATTGTATAAGAACGTTGTTTGGCATTTATATATGGCGTTGTTGGATGTTGAATGTTTAAAATTGTAAATCATCACATCTTTGGATGTTGTATGATTTCTTGAAATTTGTTTAGAAACGAAGCGTCAAATCGACAGCATGAACTTGTATAGATAAATTAAACTAAGACATTAATTCTTTTACAGTATATCATACACATGTTTAGATATTAAGCTAAACTAATTTTGAACCGAAGACAAATTGAAAGGAGATGCGCATAAAAGCTACTAATTTCTACCTTTTTATTTTATTTTTTTTAAATAACAGAGAAAGCAGATATATCAAGATACAGTGTTTCATGCTTCCATATATGAAGAATACTTTCATGAATGATATCATATAGAAAAATTAGCGTCATATAGAAAAAATGCACATACATACTACGTATTCTTACGTGTGAGTATTTGAAAATGACACTTATATTAATTAAAAATATGATTCTCTTACATAATAAAAATGAGTTTAAGCGAAATTCAAGAAAATGTAATTCGTTAATATCATTATATTATGATTTCAATTCTGTAATAGGAACTAAATGCAAAGATATAGGTCATAGGATTTATTTGTTTAGGATTTCACCAAATCTTTAAATTTGTTTTTCTACTTTTTTAGGGATCTTAAACAAATATAGTGCATTCCACGAAAACGATTTTTGTACAAAATGTACTCGAAGAAGCACAATATGAACACAGATTGTTAAACATATATATATGTAATTGTGTGTGTGTGTGTGTGTGTGTGTGTGTGTGTGTGTATATATATATATATTAAGCAAGAAACTCTGATCTTCAATGTATCTACCTTCAACTTAACGAGTATACGCTGGATCGTAAATCGTTAAACGATCAGTCGTGCGATAATCGATCGTCCCGCGATTCTCAACAATTTGAATCTTCAACGCCACCAGTTTGGTGCTATTTCTTTGCCCTCTCGATTTAAAGGATGCGTCATATACATTGTTCGGTTAGTCTTCGATCATAAAATCATTCCGTAATCTAAGACGGTTCTTCTTCCGCAGGTAACGATCGCAATGCGATAGATTATTAATCGATTCAATCTTTCGATTATCCTTCTTGAGGAAGAAAAAGCCGTCGTAGAATATCATTATTCTATCTCAGTCTGTTTCTTCTTTTCTTTTATCTTCAAAACTTGGTCTTTAATAATATAATAATAATAATAATAATAAAAAATAGTAATAGTAATAATAATAATAATAATAATAGTAATAATAGTAGTAGTAGTAATAGTAGTAGTAGTAGTAATAGTAGTAGTAGTAGTAGTAGTAGTAGTAATAGTAGTAGTAGTAGTAGTAGTAGTAATAATAATAATAATAATAATAATAATAATAATAATAATAATAATAATAATAATAATAATAATAATAATAATAATAATAATAATAATAATAATAATAATAATAATAATGATAATAATAATAATAATAATATTCTCGCGTTTGGCCGATCCGTGGCACACCTAAGAACAACGATGATCAAACGTAGTCTCGCTTGCAAGCGGACTGGTTATTCTTTGTCTTTTTCTTCTTTTTCTTCAATGATCTTTTGTAACTGCGCGTAAGGCTATGAGTTGCTACACTGTTCAACGCTGCCTTCGTGCATGCCACGGCACTTGTGTCCTAATTTCTATCCCTGAAAATCAATTTCGTACATTTCAACATTCCCTTTCTATTTCTAACTATGACGTTTAATTGAATCTTACGGTAAATAAGAGACTCACCCTGGCCCAGGATAGTAATAAGGAGGTGGTCGTTCGTATTCTGTACTTAAGGGAGGAGCAACGGCAGTGGGTTGATATCTTGGTGGTCCACCATTTGGAAAGTCCCAATTTCTAAAATAATAATTGCATGATTTAAAATATAACGAAGGCATCTATACGCCACGATCGCAAATATTTTACGTTCGTCGCGTGGCTCGTGACGTCACACGCGAAAAGAGATCGCATTTGCATTCACAATTAACAAAGTAAACGTAATGAGTAATTCGTCAAACATTTATCGAATATAATAACCCTTCGCAAATATTATAAAGATGCCTTAGCAAACAAACGATTGATATAGCAGCTATCCAAGCAAAATGAAATATACCGCTGAGCCGAGGACTCATTAATCGCAGGATTGATATCCCACGTAAAATTTGCGTCACAAATCTTTGCATCATTGAGGTAAGACTCTTATTTACTTTGATTTTTCTTACGAAAGATCAAAAGTATACAGTTTAATAATTAACAAAGGAGGTCATCCTTATTTAATTCTTTTTGTTGATTAAATAATCAGGTTTCTTATCGGTATTAGTTAGTATAAATAAATAAATAAAAAAGTATTCAAATCGACAGGTTCAACATTTATAATAAAAATATTTTGTAACACTTTATGTGGGCTATCCTCTTTTATTTAATACATATATACGTGAACCGCACGTATGTCTATAGATTGTATATAGATAATAAACATGCTTTCGCGTTCTTTCTTTCTCGCAAAATAACACGGCCAAAAATGATGCAATCAAAGAATGATAGATATGCGCGTTTTTTTTTTCACAGCACATGATATTACGTAAAGTGGATGATATGTATCAAGAATAAATAAAAAAGCATCGGCTTGATTCTTGATTTTCGGAATTTTCTTGGAAACGCACGCGAAGCCCTTTTTCTCTTCCGCAAGAAGCCTGACCTTGGCAAAGCTATTGTGATAATATCATATAGACAGATACGTATGTATGTATGTACTATGTACGTATAATGGCTAAAACCAAAGTATGATCGTACTTAAAGAATAAAAAGAAGAGAAGTGGAAGAAGAAGAAGAAGA